GCAATTCACTGTTTCATTCCCATTTTTCTCACGAGCGTGGGCCTTCCCACACATTCCCCCTTTGACATGTCATCTGTAGAACTATAAAGGATCAGACTTGCTTTCTCTGGCTGTTAGGAATCAGGATGGCATGTCTGGCCGTGCCTTGGCTTCCATGGCACGCTCAGTCTCATGGGATGAGAAAAGCAGAGTAGATTCTTTTACTGTTAAAGCATGGCCAGCTGCCCTGTTCCCAGACTGGACGTATGCATTTGAGAATCAGGATGCCATGTCTGGCCATGCCTGCGGACTCCATAGCCTCTTTGTTAGGGCTGCGTAATATATCTGTTGTTAATCGGTATTGTGATATTGGGCTTTGCGACACTGATATCATATTGCAGAGAGCAACAATGTGCAGACGAACACTGTAACCAGATATGATTTACTGTATTCAAATGAGCATCCAATCACAGTTGCAGATAAGTTTCAGGTATTCATGTAATCCAACAAAAATCAATTGTTCTGGTCATAATAATACAATCTTTAACCATCTTATATTATTGACCCAAAAACTTGGGATCTTCAAACTGCACTTTCAGAGCAGTAACTACTGTAAAGAAGTCGGACTGCAAGGGTCTGTTTTGCTTCTGCTATTGTTCCTTATGAGTCGTTGGTTGGCAGGACAGGCCTCACCACTGTAATTGAGTCCAGCTAGAGAATTCAACCTGCTGCAAAGCTTGATGATCCAGTTCCACACAGCGATCACTGAGTCCATCCTCACATCCATGACCATCTGATTTGGTTCCTCCATCTCACAAGAATGAGCAAAACTCCAGCACATCAAGGATCATTGGATGCAGTCTGCCAACGGTCAACTGTCAATTTTCTCAAATGTTATGTTATTGTATCATATTCTGTATATAATAGTTTTATAGTTTGTCTACACAGACCTGCATATGTATGGACATTCATATCTGCACATGTACAGACATTCACACTTCTGTTTAGCACCTTTCACAATGGCTGTTTATTATTCTTTCTTATTTTTTATTTTTCCAAGAATCACAATCTTATCTCATTTGTGCCTTAATTAAATATTTAACAGTCTGTCCGCTTGTCTGGTCTGGTTAGTCTTACTAATACTCATATGTGACTTATCAAGACAAATTCCCCGTATGTGTAACATACTTGGTGAAATAAAGTGATTCTGATTTGATTCTTGTATGCATCTGCTCTTCAGTGTGTCTTTGTTTAGTATTGAAAAATTGATATTTCAGCTTTGAAGTGTTTAATTTTGTGCCTGTTTGCTCCTTTGGTTTGGTCTGTGAGGCATTTGGTTTTTGGTTTGGTCTGTGAGGCATTTGGTTTTTGGTTTGGTCTGTGAGGCATTTGGTTTTTGTCGCATTATAAATTCCTACAATTCCAATTATTAAAAAAAAAATAATACGAGACTGCATTTTCCATAATAAGCTTTTAAGTCCCGCTTATCTACCTGTTGTTTCCATTAATTACCCACGCCTCCCCCCCAAAAAAAAATAAAAAACATACAATTGGTTTGATACTCCAGTATCTACACATCTATAGAGATACTTCTCCACTGATGGCAACAGATGGCAGTTGCTGTTCCGCAGTTCTGACCTGGTTAAAATGAAATCAAAATCAGGATTTCACAAATGACAGGAGACAGAGAAGAAGCTAAAAAGGGCAGGCACGTTCTAATCTGTCTCTTTCAGGAAACAGGTGAGCCTAAAGTGCCAAACTGTAAATATGTTGTAGTAGTGTGAGCTAAGGTTAGCTAGGTAAGCTAGCTAGCAGTTAGCTTCATTTGCAGCCATCTGTAACAAACACAAGCTGATAAAGAAGCACAGGATTTGCTTCAAAGCAGCAAGTAAGATTTTTTAAAAATAGCTAATGTAACAGACAGTGTTTCTGTGATCATAACACAATCAGGTTAGCCCAGCAGCTAACCTGGAAAACACTGTCAGTTCCAGAAGCAGCCACTGTCACCTCTGCCTTTACTGATGCAGCTGAAGACATCAGACAAAGGGAGCTCACCAAAGTAGGTAGCTAATAGGTAACTTTCAAGTAAGTATTTGTTGAGTAGTTTTAATGAAAATGACTAAATATATGTACATATCATTGTAATTACAGTAAATATTTTAAACAGCAACCAAAGTTTAAGTCTAATTCTTAATGAACTACAGCAAGATTGATAATTCAAAGCACACCCACATTATTGTCAGCGGTTTAACCCTTAAATGCAAACCAACCAGCCTCATAAAGAAATATAGCACAATAAATACATTCTATTTTTTTTCCTTTTCTTTAATTTCTTGCGAGGGGGGGGGGCTGGGCACACTACTGTGGCCAGGGCCCAGAATTTGGTGCTACACCCCTGGTTGTACTCTTTCGATGTGTGTTAGCTAGCTAACTAGCTAACAGGATTGGGAGTGGTGTTTTGAAGTAGTGTAAACAACAAGTTTTCCTGTAACAGTTTTCACACTTTATTTGAAGGCTACATACATGGGGACATAACACATACACAAGGATAGTATTTGAATAACTAATCAATAGTCATTCCACACACACACACATTTTCTAAGCCGCTTATCCTTCTGGGGCGTGGGGGGGACCTGGATCCTACCACAGCGGTCATTGGGCAGACGGCAGGAAACACCCTGGACAGGTCGGCAGTCCATCACAGGGCATAATCATTGAATAATGTGTTATAAAAGCTCATATCAGTATTTCTAAGAAGACATCAGATGTTTGTGGAGTAAATGACACTGTACTGACATAAGGGCTCTTCAGTGACAGACATTTGTTCCATGGATAAGATTGTTATGAAGAACTTATAAGGCAGAGACCTTGTTAAGATCACCAGATAGTGTTCGATCTCAGTTTTACGAAAGATGCCCTCAAACGTAAGTGATGGAGAATTATATGTATGACAATCATAACTTTAGTTAGAGTGAATCAAAATGCCATACAATGAAATATGGTGCTCTTAACTAGGCCCCTGCTTTGTAAGTTCAATTACATAGTAATGATTCTTCAAAACAGTGTTATAAATGGAAAAAAAAACATCCTTAAGTTTAAGGACACTTATGTCAATGCAGTGTCATAAATATATTACATTGCACATATTACATTATTCAGTGTTAATGCACGTTATAATTTATGCAGCCTTTATATATGTATCCTTCAAATAAAGTGTAAGCTGGCAGTTTGACATGGTGGCAATTAGGGTAAATAAGGGGTTAGTCTAGCTCCCTATAATAGGGATGACTAGCAAACTTTCCACTTTTACAAGAGACTTAGTCACCCTAGGTCACACCACTGGAATGTCTGTTATGAGCGTGAGTGAATATCCGAATGGATGGATTGAATGGAGAGACTAAAGTCCTACAGTCAGTATGTATCAAGCATCCAGCCCAGCTTTGAAAAAGAAATGCTGCAGATATGTTGGCAAAGGCATTTGCGTGATAACTGATACTCTTTCCGCCAAAAGCAATTATGCACAACTTCTGCAGACGCTGAATGACCATAACTGAACTGCATGAAGCTGAAAAGGAGGGAAGGGAGACTGAACAGAGAGGCTGAAGCTGAAAGTGAAGTTATTATTGGTTGCTTAATAGGCATAGGACAGGTACCACTTTACCACACATACAGTATGTTAAAAAACACAATGATAATTCCTAATAAGTCACAGATCACGCTTCATTAATTTTATGTGCAGTCAAAATGGCCCTTAAATACAAGTTCTTCTGAATATTTACAGTAATTAAACTACACAGAAGCCTCAACAACTTATTATAATTTACATTTCTTCAGTATTAATTGTGTCCACTCTTTATCTTTATTACAACTTCCATTCTTTTCAGGAGACTCACTTTCAGTTTCTGAAAGAAATCTGAAGCCACACCTCCACAGTTCTGTCTTAGAAGTTGGCTTCTCTCGATCCAAGTAATCAAACACATTCAGCGATGTTGAGGTATGGACTCTAGACTCTGGGGTGGTCAGTCCATTGTTCAGCTTCTTTGTTTGATGTGTCCGTCTCCTTTTCTCAGTGAGGTTCTTCTTGTCAGCTACACATCCTTTCAGACCCACAGCGCTGAGTCGTCTTCTCACGGTGGAAGGATGGATGTGGATGTTTCAGATCTGAAGCAGCTTGATTTTCTCCTCTCTCTCAAAGATGAAAGCTTTAAGTGCTGTTTATCTGATGGGGACAGTTTTGGTGTCTGCTAGGTCTTTCAGGTGGTTGTTAGGAGTCCTATTTTCTCTATATCTCTTTTAGCTTTTAATCATTTTTTAAAATTCCGTTTTGGGAAAGCCTTGTTGTTTCGCTTTTTTCTTTGGGCTCTACCCTTTGTACTGTAAGTGAATTATCTATCTATCTATCTGTCTGTCTGTCCGTCCGTCCGTCCGTCCGTCCGTCTATTTATCTATCTGTGTGTAATGTGTCTGTGTATGTAATATTCTGATAAAATAAATATCCAGAATGAAGTTCTAATAAGTTCATATCCAGAAGAAAGGTATTATTAAGAATGATGTTCTAATGCTATTATTATTCAGAATGTCTTACCAAAAATATAAATAGATAATTAAAGTATTTTTAATCATTTATTGACTTCTTAAAACTATCTCTATCTATCTATCTATCTATCTATCTATCTATCTATCTATCTATCTGTGTCAGTCTGTTTCTCTATCTCTTGTCTACATATCCAGCTATCTATCTATCTATCTATCTATCTATCTATCTATCTATCTATCTATCTATCTATGCCAGTCTGTTTCTCTATCTATCTATCTATCTATCTATCTATCTATCTATCTATGCCAGTCTGTTTCTCTATCTATCTATCTATCTATCTATCTATCTATCTATCTATGCCAGTCTGTTTCTCTATCTATCTATCTATCTATCTATCTATCTATCTATCTTCCTACTATTGTAGGACATAGGATACCCTTTAATCCCAACCATCCAAAGTTTTGCTCTGTTTTGTGTTGTACAGGATGGCAGGACTGCTCTACACATCGCTGCTGCCCACTCCAAAGACGACCTTGTGAAACTCCTGGCAAGAAAAGTAGATCCCAACAATCCTGGAGGGGTGAGATCCCCCCTCGTCCATTCGTCAACTTTTATTTCTCTGCACACTCTGTCTCTCTGGCCTTCTCTTTCTTTTTTCTCCTCTTTTTTTGTTTTGTCTGTATGTTTGTTCACTGTGTTGGTAAGAAAGGAGCACTGGAAAGTAATGCTTTATATTTGCTTAATTCAAATGTGTGCATCATTTCCACATTGATAAAATGTGTGTATTATGTCACTTTTGGCGGTAATTAGCAGTAATTGTGTTGATGTGTTCTGTTCATGCAGTAATAATGTACACAGTTGAACCAAGTAAAATCAATTCATTACTTTTTTTCAGCGTGTTCCTCTCTTATTCCTTGTTCTTTACTCTTTCTCGCTGTTTCTCTCTCTCTTCTCTGTTTTCACCTTCCTCTCTGTTTTAGCTTACTGCCAGAAGACTCTCTTCACACTGAGAAGCCTGTGAAGGATAGGATTCCAGCAGCTTTGTGTCGTTGGCTATTTCTTTTCAGTTAAACACAGGCTGTAACTAAGCCTGTTATTAGATACGTACAGTAGGTTTTGGCAGACAGTGCATAGAGGCTCTTTGATTGACAGCAACTATTAACTGCTGAGGAGGCAAAAGAAGTTGTTTTTTTTTTTCTTTCTGTTTGGATATGCTGTAGTCAGGTTATGCTTACAGTCATTCCTGGTGTTCATATGCATCATTTTACAGCTTTGATTTGAAACATTGACTGACTGAGAATGATCATTTTTGCATTTGTAAGACGTGTTTAGAAATGAGAAAACTCAGAGAAAGAGAGTGCAGGGTGGGAACTAAGCGGGGGGTGTGGGGGTAACGGGTCATTTACAATAGGTCACTAAAACGGGACCTGCATGCAAAACGAGTGGCGGGAAAAGTGCCACCGAATCGCCAGGCCAAACATTCCTATTCCTCGCACAGGCAACTGCAGGGGGCGCTGCAGACGCATTTTAATAATAATACTAATCATGTGCAAAAGTTTGGCCAATGGGTCGATTGGCATGTTTTGTTGGTTTTCTAAGTGAAAATAAGTTAACACAGAGACAGAGGACACACTTCTGCACATTTTAACAAACAATTAACATAATGGGGGGAAAATAAAATATAAAATGAGGCCAGTGTAAAAGGTACATTTTATACGGTATGTTTACAATATGTTAAATTCTGCAAATAAATAGAAATTCAGCACTAAAATTTGCAGAAGAAATTACGTATTTAGGTTTGTTCGCTGTATAGGATGTGTTCTCATAGTTTCCCTTAGACAATCAACAAAACCGGGGTGTTCAAACTTTTGCCACTGATTTTTTACTTAAACCAGGAAATAAACAACAGAGCATTTTAGAATTAACTAAAAAATAAAAACAAAGAAAAGTTCTGACATGTAAAGTAAAGAAGAAATATTCAAGATTCTGTATTATTTCTAGGTCACTATTGAAATTTAAGCCTTTTTAAGCCTTAAGGACCAAAACATCTGGAGTCCATGCCAGCTAGAGTGCAGTGTGTCATTAAAGCAGAGAACAGACACACTACCAAATGCAACCCTGTTTCCAGAACAGTTCCAAAACAGGTACGCTGTGCAGAATGTTAATGAAAACAGAATGCAATGATGTGCAAATCATTAAAATCCTATATTTAATTGAGAATAGTACAAAGACAACACATCAAATGTTGAAACTGATCAATTTTGTTGTTTTTTTGAAAAATATATGCCCATTTTTGGGACCCATATGCCCACTGAATTTGATATTCCAAAAAAGTTGGGACGGGGGCCTGTTTACCACTGTATTTCATCACCTCTTCGTTTATCACTCTGTAAGCGTTTGGGAACTGAGGAGACACTGCTGTAGTTGTGAAAGTGAAATGTTTTCCCACTCTTGCGTGATATAAGATTTCAGCTGCAAAGGGTCTCCTTTGTCATATTTTTCGTTTCATAATGTGCCAAACATTTCAAATGAGTGACAGCACCTGGACTTCACTGAAAAAGATGGCAGCATATGTTGCTCTAAAACCTGTATATATTGTTTAGCTTTAATGGTGCCTTCACAGATGTGCCGGTCACCAATGCAATGTGCCCTAATGCACTCCCTACCATTATGGATGCTGGCTTTTGAACTGTGTGCTGATGACAAGCTGAATGGACCCTCTCCTCTTTAACCTGGAGGATGCAGCATCCATGACTTCCAGACTTCCAAAAAGAACTTCAGATTTTGATTTGTTGGACTGCAGGACACTTTTCCACTTTGCTTCAATCCATCTTAAATGAGCTCAGGCCCAGAAAAGGTGGCAGCATTTCTGGTTCCTGTTTATATATGGTTTCTTCTTTGCATGGCAGAACTCTAGCGATGAACTGTGTTCACAGACAGTGGTTTTCAGAAGTGTCACTGAGCCCATGCAGTGATTTCCACTACAGAATCATGTATCGGCCACCTCTGGGACCAAAGATCATGGCCATACAGTATTGTTTTTTGGCTTTGTCCCTTGCATACAGAGATTTCTGCATATTCTCTGAATGTTTTAATGATATTATGTACCATAGATGATGAAATTCTTTGCTATTTTATATTCAGAAATGTTATTCTTGAATTGTTGCACTATTTGGCCTCACAGTCCTTCACAGAAAGTTGAATCCTCCCCATCTTTACTTCTGAAAGACTCAGCCTCTCTGGGATGCTCTTTTTATACCCAATCATGTTATTGACCTGTTGCCAAATGACCTAATCAGTTGTGAGATGTACCACCAGGCATTTTTTTTTTTTTCTCATTACACAACTTCCTGAGCTCCTGTCCCAACTTTTTTGAAACATGTTGCTGGCATCAAATTCAGAATGGACATATATTTTTCAAAAAAAACCAATAAAATATTTGAGTGTTCGTTTTAAATCAAAAATAGGGTTTAAATGATTTGCACATCATTGCATTCTATTTTTATTCACATCTTGCACAACTTTTTTGGAAATGTACTAGGAAATTCTGGAATTCATATTAAAATGAAAAAGATGCTACTCTTCACTCAAATAGCTATGCTTATAAAATAACTTGTAATTGAAAACTTTGTAGTAAATTATAAAGGACTGTAAAATAGAAGAGTTTTCACTAGTGGTCTCAGACCTTTGGACCCCACTGTACATAAGAATAGTCAGTTGCTGTGATTTGGTTTGAGTAAACTAAGCTGCCAGCTGAAACTGTTTTATTGACATATCAATCACTAAACAAAACATAGAAGGTCCAGTTTTTACTGGTGATAACAAAAGCATGTTGTAAATGAATAGTAATTATTTATCACATAAACAATGTAGCTCATTAAAACAGATGGATGAATCATAGAGAAAGTGCAGTGTAATCTGTGCCTTCTTTGTGTTTATAATCAGAAGATGAGATATATTATTATGAACTGAATTTCTTGAATTGTTATTGTGAGTTAATATTTGTGAAGTCTTGTTTTGCAGAACGAAATCCTTTACATTATTGCCATGATTTCACATTAAAATGCCAAAAAGCACCCAGAAATGCGGATTTGAACTTGTTGATACAGAGTGTAAATTGAATGTGAATGCAACTAATTATGTAACAAATTACAGAATAATTTATTGGAACTCAGATGTGTAACAAAACAATAATAATAGCTCTCCTTCTGTAAGAGGTAAAGGCATTGATCTTGCTCAGCCTTTCAGTTTCTCTTGTTTTTAAACTTCAGCTTCATTCCCACTCCTTTACCACAGAGCCATGCTGTTGCAATACGTGCAGAATGTGGTTTGACATTGTCGTGCTGAAATAAGGAAGGCCTTCACCGAAAAAGACGTCATCTGGATGGCAGTATATGTTGCTCTAAAACCTGTATATATCTTTCAGCATTAATGGTGCCTTCACAGATGTGCAAGTCATGCCATGTGCACTAATGCACCCCCAGACGATGACAGATGCTGGCTTTTGAACTGTGCGCAAAAAAATCCAGAAATGCGAATTCGAACTTGTTGATACAGAGTATAAATTTAATGCGAATGCAACTAATTATGCAACAAATTATGTAACAAATTACAGAATAATTTATTGGAAATCAGGTGTGTAACAAAACAATAATAGCTCTCTCCCTGTAAGAGTTAAAGACATTGATCTTGCTCAGCTATTCAGTTTCTCTTGTCTTTAAACTTCAGCCCAAGTCCCAGCTGCCCCTGCACTACGCTGCCTCTCGCTCTGCTGGTTCCCCTGCAGCTGTACAGACGCTGCTCAAACTCTCCAATAAAGAGGCTCGCCTAACTCCAGACAAGGTAAAGCACTTACTATACTGCCATCAACTGTCTGAGCCGCTGGTCTGTTCCCAGGCCTGAATCTAATTACAACATAACCCAACCCTTCCGCACTGCCTCTAATAGCTTCTGCCTGGTCGAATCAGCCGCATTTGCAAATTAACTTTTAATTCTGGGAGGAAAATGTGGCTTCTTAAAGGGTGTTGTGATTAAATGAGGGGTTTGGTTTTAGAAATGTATTGGAGTGTCTCAGTGGAAAACAATGAGATAGGCCTAATTTTCTCAAGACTGATTTAAGGCCATAATGTCATGGGAATTCTTCTACACAAGCTAGGCCCTACTTGAGGGACATGTTAGCTGTAGTAGTCATACCTCCATTCATCAGTTAGTAGGCCAAACATATCTAGCTATATATCCATATATATCCATATATCCAAGTAATTCAAATTTATACAATTTTCCCCCTACCCCAAATGAATATGATCAAATAAGGCATTTGTCTATTTAAAAATGGACAAGCGTGTGGACAAAATTCCAGGGGGGGTTGCAGCCAATACTGGGTGGGTGGGGCTATGCTTTACAGATTCCTAGTGCTGTTTTCTGTCTGTCTAGCTACACTGTAAAAAAAAATCACTGTAAAATTACCGTAAAATTACTGGCTGCTACTGAAAACGGTATTTTACTGTAAAAAAGTTGTTAAATCTTGGCATTAATTGACAGTGTATGACACACACTACTCTACTTGAGATTACTTACCAACTCAACATGGTTCTAGAAAAATGTGTGATGCCCTCTTGAAAAAGATGGTTCTTTGAGGGTTCTTTAGTGACTAAAATGATTCTATGTAGAACCATGAACACTCAAAGAACGCTTTGAATGAATAAAGGATTCTTTACACCTTAAAATGGTTTTGTAGATTGAAGAAAGTCCTCTAGATAGTTCTATGTAGAACCTTTTTGAAAAGGGTCTATTCCTCTATTGTAACAAGCTTGCATAACAATATCAGAACCCTTTTTGGTGCTATATGGAATGCTTTTCAAAAGGTTCTATATAGAACCATGTACCACACATTCTCCATCAAGTCTGAAGAACCATTTCACAATGCAAAGAACCCTTTAAAAATGCCAAGGGTTCTTTCAGTGTTTACAGTTCTATACAGAACCATTTTCTTTACTAAAGTCGTGGCTACGACTTAATTATTTCATTCCCACACCTTACTAAGTTGTGGCCATGCATTAGGATCTCATCCCCACACCTTACTAAGTCATGGCTACGCCTTAGGATCTTATCCCAATGTCTTACTAAGTTGTGGCCACGCAGTAGGATCTCATCCCCACACCTTACTAAGTCGTGGCCATGCATTAGGATCTCATCCCCACACCTTACTAAGTCGTGGCCACGCATTAGGATCTCATCCCCACACCTTACTAAGTTGTGGCCACACATTAGACTCTCATCCCAACATCTGGCCACGACTTAATCATCCCATTCCTATGCCTTACTAAGTCATGGCCACCACTTAATTATCTCATTATCCCAAAATGCTGTGCGGTTCAGCTCAACATCAACCTCACAGTAAGTTGCTGCTTGAGCTGAGTTGATTTCACAATAAATTGATAAAAACGGTATTTTACTGTAAAAAAGTTGTTAAATCCTGGCATTAATTGACAGTGTATGTAACACACTACTGTCCATGTCCATGTGATGCCCTCTTAAAAAAAATTGGTTCTTTGAGGGTTTTTTAATGACAAAAATGGCTCTATGTAGAACCATGTACCACACATTCTCCATCAGGTCTGAAGAACCATTTCACAATGTAAAGAACCCTTTAATCACGCCAGTGGTTCTTTGAGTGTTCTATACAGAACCATTTTCTTTACTAAAGAACCCATGAAGAACCATCGTTTTTAAGAGTGTATGGTGCAAATTGGTGAGGTATAAGGTCCTGTTACTCGTTAGCAACATTAGCCTTGTAGCATTTTTGCCAACACCAAGCATGTCTTGGCTGGTGGACTATATTTGGGGGAAAACTGTATCAATTTGATTTCTCATCAAATTACTTCAGCTGTGTTTATGGCTGTATGGCTAAGTGATTAGTCAGCAGAGGAGGTTCAGTGTCATATACAGAGCTTTTTTTCTGTATGTTCTCTGGCTTTGGCATACTGTGGCTTTTTGCTGTGAGATCAGATGAACAGTGTTTCATTGTTTCCACTTCTCTGTCTTTTCCTCATCCAGGATGGCTGCATTCCGCTGCTCCTGGCTGTTGAGGCGGGGAATGTTGGAATCGTTAAGGAGCTCCTCTCGGGCCAAACGGAGCCCCAACTCCACGCTCAGAGAACAGTAAGGCCAGCTGGGTCTCACAGAGTGCTTCACACCCAGAGATCAAATTATTCCACTCGTTTTTCCACTCAGATATGAGTGAATTCAAGAGTGTGAGTCATTGTTCATCAGGTATGAAGTCCTTGTAATGGAAGGCGCCTGTGGAGATAATATAGATGTTTTTAATAACAACTTTTATTGATTTTCCACTCTATACTGTCTAACAGAGTCATACTGGTGTTAAATTAGTGAACCGCATCAAGGCTTGGTTTTAGAATGAGCAAAACTATCTGAAAAGATTCCAACTTTGGTGATGAAACCCTGTTTCCTTTTAAGATGTGCTGTAATCGTGTATAAAATAGGGTAAAAAGGCTTTTTGAATCACATTCAGTTACAATGAGGTGACGCAGCCAACATAGTTCGCAAACACGTTATAAATGATGGTTTTACGTCAATGGAATACTGGATCCACGCTCAGTGTAAGATGTTGGAAAGCTGCGTTTACCAGACCACTGAATTCTGGGATTGGTGTGTGGTTTTAAAGAGTAATATCGCTCTTGCTTTTCAGTTTACGGCTTCATATTGGGTGAGTGATGAAGTTGCCTCCCGAGCGTGGGAATCTAACACTTGTACCACCTTCTCAGAGGAAAAATAAAATGATTCAGATTTGACTGTAAATATTATAAATGGCATTCAATTAAATATCTATTCAGTGTTGATTATAAAAAAAATCTTCAATATATTTTAATAGATCTCTTTCTTGGCGCACCCATCAGCCCTCAGCCAGAGATCCGGTCATTGTGTTGTAGCCTATGTGTTTGCTGTCGAAGTTTACTGTGTTTAAGCAACAGTTTACAGAATCCTCCTGTTATCTACTGTTGCTTCATCTGCCAGACTTTCAGTTAAGGCTACCTTGTTGCATCGGTGACACTTTTACTACCAGAATAAAGAGCTCAGTAGCACAAATGACTACTTACGTACTTACTTACATACATATCTATTTATTTATTTATTTATTTATTCATTTATTATAAAGAGATGTATATACCATTGTATTATTTAAAAGTAAACTAGCTTTTCAGGGTGTTCACTGGAGACATACGCATTTGAGAAGTTACAATAGATGAAAATAGACCAGGGCCTAATGATTTGGTGAAAAAATCCAATCGCAGCTTTTCTGATCAATATTGTGATTGTATAGAGCCCCGCACGTGACATCCTGTATAAATAAAAAAATAATGTGTGGCCATGACTTAGTAAGCCGAGGGAACAAGATAATTAAGTCGTGGCCACAACTTAGTAAGGCACGGGAATGAGATTCTAATGCGTGGCCACAACTCAGCAAGACATGATCTTGTTCGTGGTCATGGCCACGCATTAGGATCTCATCCCAACGCCTTGCTAAGTTGTGGCCACAACTTAACTATCCCATTCCCACTGCTTACTAAGTCATGGCCACAACTTAATTACCCCATTCCCATGCCTTACTAAGCCATAGCCATGACTTAATTATCTCATTCCCATGCCTTACTAAGTCGTGGCCAAGGCTTATTTATCCTATTTCCACACCTTGCTAAGTCATGGCCACGATTTAATCATCCTATTCCCATGCCTTACTAAGTCATGGCCACGACTTAATTATCCCATTCCCACACCTTACTAAGTTGTGGCCATGACTTAATTATCTCATTCCCATGCCTTACCAAGCCGTGGCCATGACTTAATTATCTCATTCCCATGCCTTACTAAGTCGTGGCCATGGCTTAATTATCCTATTTCCACGCCTTGCTAAGTCATGGCCATGACTTAATTACCCCATTCCCATGCCTTACTAAGTTGTGGCCATGACTTAATTATCTCATTCCCACACATAAATTCAATTATTTCCTTCTTTTTCACAGAGAAGGTCAGCATATCCATTTTTCAAGGCTTGAGTCTTGAACGCTGAATGTAGTGCACCAGACTGCCAGTTCATGAGCTCCATCTTTCCTCACTTAAAACGTCTTATGACAACTTTGAATAATGTAGGTTAGAAATAAACTAATCTTTTAAGACTGATAATCGTTCAGCCCTAATGTCGACCAATTTAAATAAAAAAGGATTAATGTTCACATTAATCAAACCAGAGAAATCTTACAGTGACTCAGCGTTAAAGCAGCAGGTTTTCCTGTCCAATAAGAAGAAGGTTTAAACTGGGAAGGCTGCCCTTAAGATGAGCTTATGCTAAAACACAGAAGCTAGTCGGACCAACGTTAGATGCTGAGGAGGGCATGGCCTCTTTTACCTGGGACCTTTTAGTACCAACCCCTCCCTGCCCTCCCATGGCTGAGAATCATGGGTTTGAACACTGGGTGCTTTTTCGTTCACTTGATCATTAATGCTAAGTGCCCCCTGGTGGATTCAGGAGACATAGCATTGACTTGGAAATCTGCTGTTTGCTACATTTGTACATTAATCACTTACTTAAAAATTGGAATATTTCCAAACATTAGACTAAAAACAAGGGGAACATTTAATTTCTAAAGCCATCTGACGACCTGTGTATGAAGCTGATCGAACTGAAATAGGTGAACAGGTCTGCTTGAGTCTAACTTCTAACTGTATTCTGCTCGTAGGGAAGCGGAGACACAGCTCTGCACATCTGCTGCCGACGGAAGGATGTTGAAATGGCCAAAGTGCTGGTGGAGTTCGGCTCAAATCTTGATTCCCAAAATGTAAGAAGGCAGCGCTCACGGACACAGGGTCTATACACGCTTAAGACCCAATTTTTACTGATTACTTATCAGACAGATTCAATTCAGATTAGTTACTTAATAAAGCTTTACTTGAGATTTGGTCACTTTGATTTGACTGTAGGGGGATAACACAGAGGGATTTGTGTTGCTGAGAGGTGTGTATGTGGCTTTGACTGGCATTAAATCAGACTTCCACTGATTTTTAAAATTGTTTGCATAATGTAAGCTTTGAGATGGAAACAGTCATTCAGAGAGGCTTGAAGTGAAAAGGTTATTGTAGAGAAACTTACTGACTCAGATTTCTTTACAGTGGTGGTGATGCGAACCAGGGGTCACCATGACTACAACATAAATATAGCCATTTTATTCACTATCCAAAACCACCAGTGAACGTACATGTGTCTTATGTAATGTTGTTGATCATGAAACTCTGATTAGTCTGAAAGAATGGCATACTAGTTGTCTCAAAATGCATTAAAATGTACCTCTGGCTTAAAAAAAATACTTTTTAGGCCAAAATGTTATCTCAGAACTATCATAAAATAATGTCTCATGCACCAGACAGTGTATACATAGACATTTTATGCAATAACTTTCTGTGAGGGAGAGTTTTAGAAGCATTAACAGGCCCATATCCTTCACTTTTCTTTTGTTATATTTTTTCTCTGAGGTGCACTTAATGATTCATTTTAACATGACCATTTTCTACCCTCTCTTTATCCTTTTACAATTAAACAGGCTGATTTTCCTACTGTGCCTTTAAGACCAATATAAGTACAGGAGCTCTGTTCTAATCAGCTGCCCTGTATTGTTCCTCATTCAAAAAGCAGTCCAGGCTGAAATGCTGCGCTAGTAACTTCAGTGTCAATAGGTGGGGCTAAACTGCTGAAGGCTGAGAGCAGTATGTAAATGTGTTGTTTTTGATGACATCACAAATGCAGGGACTGTTTTTTGCAGTGTACTTTCCATATACGGACTGTGTTGATTGAGGAGTGAATGGTATGTTTGAAACAATGTTTACATACTACATCAAACTAATATATGAAAAAAAGGATAGACAATTCAGTTTTCCAAGATATGGGTTTTTTGAACTCTTCAGACGTCTGGTTCCTATCACCACCACTGTCTCTCTAAGTTTCTCTAGAACAGAGCATTTCCCACCAAACCACTCTAAATGACTTAAACATCTTAAGGCTTTAATTATGCAGAAAATTGGAAAACATGGTGGAATTCCCCTTCAATAAAATGCATGAGGGGTGACTGAGCTGTCTGGTTTTATTTCATTCTTACAGGATGAAGGACAGACCCCTCTTCACGTAGCGGCCTGGGAGGGCGATGAGGCAATGCTGAAGTTTTTCTACCAGAGCAAAGCGAACCCCAACATTGTAGATAAGGTGGGGTTAAAGAAATATTCTTCAGTGGAGCATATTAAACTCCATTTCATATTCACAGACATAGACCAGCCTGCGCTGTCCAGGGATTTTGGGTTTTCCAGAATGACCATAACACATTAAATGCCATACAGATCTTTCAAAAGTTTGTAGACAGCTTTGTTCTTCTGAAATCAAAGATATTAATAGTGAGTTTTGCTACAGTAACAGCCTCTACTCTTCTGGGAAGGCTTTACACTAGATGTTGGAACATTGTTGTGACGATTTGATTGCATTCAGCCACAAGAGCATTAGTGAGGTCAGCTACTGACACTGGATGATCAGTTCTGGATCACTATAACTCCTCCCAAAGGTACTGGATGGAGCTCCATCACTCCAGAGAACGCAGATTGACTGCTCCACAGCCCAATGCTGGGGGGCTTTATACTCCTCTAGCCCATGCTTGGCATTGGGCCTTGTGGCATTAGACGCTCATGTGCTGCTGCCTGAGAGTGTCCCATTCTCGCAATGTGTTTCTATGGGGATTACAAACTGTATGTGCACAATGAAATGCTGCTGTTACCAGGGGGTGCAGCTGCTAGTATTATGGTCACAGGGTCATATTTCCCTGGAATAACTTGGAATTATTGGTAAACTTACAGCTTTAAAGACCCTGTATGTTTTAAATATCATTTATCTTCTGTCACACTTCTCCAGATGGATAGATCTCCTCTGCACATTGCAGCAGAGCGAGGTCACACCAACGTGGTTGAGATCCTCACTGAGAAATTCAAGTCCAATGTGTTGGCGAGAACAAAGGTCAGTGTCTTATAGTCTCTTAACAGGTTGAATGTACAATACTTGGTTGTTGCCTACAAATTCTGTCTCTCTGGTGCAGGATGGGAGCACACTACTGCACATTGCATCCCAGTGTGGTCATCCAGAGACTGCCCTCACGTTCCTAAAGAAAGGAGTTCCTTTACACATGCCAAACAAGGTACTGCAGTTTCATGGTCTTCCAGGACTGGCTGATATATTTTATATACTGGTATATCCAGTGTTGGAATTATAACAATGTTATAAGGTGGGAAAAGTGGGTTCAACAGCTAGTTGGAGGTGAGGGTACTCCAACACATCCAACACAACGTGTATAAATATCAAACTTGGGTGGAATTAAAGGGCCTGTGTCTTACATTTACATGGTTTTTATATTTTACCCTGAGGTTCCCTCAATAATATAATATGTTACATTAAGTCAGTTTTTATTTTTGCATGAGCGTTTTCTAGAATTAAACAGGTTGTTGTTGTTGTTACTGTGCCTTTAAGACTGATATATGCACTGGGTATCCTGTATTATGCCTCATTTAATAAGCAGTCCGGACTGAAACATTCCTTATAACTTCAGCATGATTGGGCAAAGAATTAGACCTCCGCATTTAACCCATCTGTGCAGTGAAACACCCACATACATGCACACTAGTGAACACACACACACTAGGGGGCAGTGAGCAGCCTTATCCACAGTGCCCAGAGAGCAGTTGGGGGTTAGGTGCCTTGCTCAAGGGCACTTCAGTCACGTACTGTCGGCTGAGGGGATCGAACCGGCAACCTTCCGGTCACAAGGCTGGTTCCCTAACCTCCAGCCCACGACTGCCCCGATCAAAATGGGCTGCCTTTGTGGCTTACTTTTCATATGAGGACTGTATGGACTTAGTGAATGGTATGTTCTGAAATTTTGTTGAAACATTGTTTACATACTATATGAATCGTTTATTCTAAAAAGAAAACAAGGAGAAGTCAGTGTTCCATGAAATGGCCCATTAAAAATGTCTAGTTTGTGGGCCTCATAGTATCTAGGACCTGATCTAATTTTCTTGATTCTTCAGGTTGTTTTAAAAGAACAGTTAGCATCAATAAAAAATAAATAAATAGTTTCCTTTCTGGAAAATGTGGTTTGTACAATGCTGTGGAACAAGCAAACCTGACACGCTATGTCAGACTTGTGAGACATTCTTGTTTGGGATAGAGTAGCAATGCTCAGGAAGCATGGGGTCATTAACTTTATTAGTGTAAGCTTAAGCTCTTAAATGAGGTCCAAAAAGGGTTCAAACCTTTATTGCACATTTCTATAAATTGACAATAACTTGGCTGGTTTGCCTTGTAGCCCATATAGTTACTGAATAATAAGTGTTATGCTGTAATAAACATGGGATTTGAAGGGGTGAAATATCTCCACATAATGTGTGCTAGATTTAATAAGATATCATGATACTGTTCTGCTGCGATGGACTGGCGACCTGTCCAGGGTGTATCCTGCCTTCCGCCCAATGACAGCTGGGATAGGCTCCAGCACCCCACCGCAACCCAGGAGGATAAGCGGTTTAGACGATGGATGGATGGATGGATGGATACTGTTCTGGTTTGTTATTGTTGTGTTATTTCTGGTAGTCAGGTGCGGTGTGCCTGCACGCGGCTGCGAAGCGGGGCCATGCAGCTGTAGTGAAGTCTCTGCTCCTGAAGGGGGCACATGTGGACGCCACCACTAAAGACGGCCAGACAGCGCTTCACATCGCTGTGCAGAACTGCAAGCCTCAGGTGGTGCAGATGCTGCTGGGCTTCGGAGCACAGGTGCAGCTCAGAGGGGGAAAGGTAACCAGACACCTGTCACGTGTCGAGTCAACTCAACTGAAGGACATTAGACTTCACCCAACACAAACTTCTTAGTTTAGTCAGAAGTTCTCTTAATGTTCAGTTTTAGATATAAGGTATATAAGTAAACAATATAAAATTTGTTTTCTTACTCAATTATCCCACCAGCTGGGACTCATTCCATCACGCAGTCACCCGTCAGGCATTTTCTCCTCCTGGGCTCCAGATATTCATAACTGGGGCTTTGCTGGGCTTCAAACTCGCAATTTCCTGATGTTGAATGAATTATTGGGGAGTTGCACATGTGACAGTGCTAGTTTTTAAAGTTTAAACAGCAAATATTTTCTACAGTGTATTAAACATTTGAGGACATAAAATCTGAGTAATTACTGGTTCCCAAGTCATGCGACGGATTGAGTCTTCACTTCAACAGGAAATTCTGAGTCTGAAGCCCAATTGTGTAGCCATCCATAAGTGGGTGCCCCAGAGGAGAAAATGCCTGATGGGATTGTGTGATGGAAAGAGTCCCGGTTAGTCAAAAATCAAATGCTGTATCATTTACCAAACTGATATGCAGAAGTGAAAAATTAAGAAAACTTTTGACTGAACTAAGAAGTTTAATTTGGGTAAACTCTAGTACTCTTAAGCTGAATTAACTTAAGAAAAGCAGTGTAATCAGTTACCTTATTCATATTACAGCATCCAAAAAAATCTGAAAACATTTAATTAACAGAAAAGAAGATTTAGTGTGTCCACTCTTTACATTTATTTCAGCTTCCATTCTCTTCAGGAGACTTGCTTTAAGTATTTCAAAGAAACCTGCAGGGATATTTTTACACCACCAAAGTTCGGTCTTAGAATTTGGTTGCTCATTTTCTACACACATTCAGTGATTCAGTGGTGTTGAGGTCTGGACTCTGGGGTGGTCAGTCTGTCGATCTGAGAACACCAGCTGCTTCTTTGTTTGATTTACAAATGTTCTTTTTTGTCTATTACCTATGATACCTATGACCAGCGGATTTTTCCACATCTGAAGCAAGAGTGGATCTTGATTTAAGTGCTGTTTATCTGATGGTTACAGTTTTGGTGGTCGATCAGGTCTTGCATGGTTGTTAGGAGTCACTTTTTCTCTGTATCTCCGTTTTGGAAACTCCTGTTTTTTTCACTTATTATTCCTTATATCTTGGTTGTCTCATAATCTAATCATCTCTTCAGAAATATCTCCTGAGGAATGCATAATTTGTACTTTTGCAGTTTTGGCTGGAAATAAATAAATCAAAGGTGGTCACAGTACTCATATTTCAGGTGATCCTGTGTCCTGTGTGTAGGACTTGGAGACCCCTCTGCATGTAGCAGCCAGAGTGAAGGAGGGGGAAAAGGTGGCAGAGATGCTGCTGAAGAGTGGAGCTGAGGTCAACGCAGAGCAGGAGGTCAGAATAAAACTGTACTGTGTAATTTTTATTTTCCTGGTTCTCAGCCTTGGCTCTGGAGTAATCCTGTCCCGCATATTTTGGTGACTTTCCAGATCCATTAACCATTAAATTTAATAAAATAATAATTTACAAACCCTTCCTGAGATGAATTTGGTGAGTTAGAGCAGGGAAAACATTAAAACATGCAGGACACTGGTGCTTCAGGGCCAAATGCAATCCAGTTGTTCACTACAGTCCCCCACAATCTACATTTTTATTACAGCTAATGCCCCTGAACCATTTATTCCAACTATACTGTCTATTGGGACCTGGACTTGTAGTGAACATGTAGGTAACGGTAAGCTATTTCCACTGTGTTTGCTATCTTGTCCACTATGTTTTCCTGGCCCAGAATGGTGAGACTGCAATGCATGTGGCAGCACGTCATGGAGCCCTGCAGATGATGAGAGCTCTGATAGAAGAGGGAGCCGACCTCACCTGGAGATCCAAGGTGAACAACTAGCTGCACAAAAACTGGCCTGTCACAAAAAAAATTGACATCAGATAAACATTTCATGTAACATTCTGTGATGTGGCTGTTAGAGGCATTACATTCTTCAGAAGTCTGGTTCCAGTCACCACCGCTGTTAACAATTCTGAGTCAAAAACTTTCTCTAAAACAGAGCATTTCACGTCAAACACATGAAGAGTGGAGTCAAGAGTTTAACGAAAAACCTGTTCAAATATCTACTCTTTATCAGAAGTTAAATTAAAGGTGCAGTATATGATTTTAGCCCAGTACGCTTTTTGTCAGATTCAGTGATTGTCTCCTCACTGTCTGCCGTTCTGTGTGCATGCTAGAAAAAATCCAGTAAAATCAGCAACATGGGGTATTTGTGCTTGTGCACAGGAAAGGGGAAAAGGGAGGGGCAACATGCTAAAATCCACACAATGTCAAGAAGGAGAGATGGCTGAGAAACAGCCAAACAGGAGAAGATTTAAAGAGAAAAGTTTTTAGATCAGGCCCAAAGAAGGTGGCAGCGTTTCTAGATCTGTTAATATATGGTGTCTTCTTTGCATGGTTAGTTTTAACTTGGATGCAGCAACGAACTGCGTTCACAGACAGTGGTTTTCAGAAGTGTTCCTGAGCCCATGCAGTGGTTTCCACTACAGAATCATATCTGTTTTTAATGCATTGCCGCTTGAGGGCCCGAAGATCATGACCGGCCAGTATTGGTTTTCGGCCTTGTTCCTTGCATACAGAGATTTCTCTGGATTCTAGGAGCGTTTAATGATATTATGTACCGTAGATGATGAAATCTCCAAGTTCTTTGCTGTTTTATGTTGAGAAACGTTATTCTTGAATTGTTGCACTGTTTTGCCCATGCAGTCTTTCACAGAGTGGTGAACCCCTCCCCATCTTTACTTCTGAAAGACTCCGCCTCTCTGGGAAGCTCCAGTCATGTTACTGACGTGTTGCCATTTGACCTAATCAGTTGTGAGATGTTCCACCCGATTTTTTTAGCATTACACAACTTTACCAGTCTTTTGTTGCTCCTGTCCCAACTTTTTTGAAACATGTTGCTGGCATCAAACTCAAAATGTGCACATATATTTTTCAAAAAACTTATTTTTTCTAGAATTTCTCAGTTTCAACATTTAATATGTTGTCTTTATACTAATGTCAAGTCAGTGAGTGTATCTGTGAAGGCTTTTAGCATGCATCTGTGTTTCTGTATGTGTTCAGGCAGGAGAGAACCCACTACATGTTGCAGTGCGTCACTGCCATGCCCACATGGTGGAGGCGATCTTAAACTATCTGACCAACAACAGGAGCCGAGGAGAGGCGGAGCTCTGTGTACGTCAGGAGAACCAGGTCAGCCCTGAGAGGAATGTTAATATGTGGAAAAGTTTCTCGCAAGTAAAAGAATAGTTTGGCAAAAAAGTCTAATTTGCCAAAAATTCCCCAAATGTAGCCCATCAAGCAAGTCCAAAGTTTGCTTATTTTAGCACTGGATTTACAAGGCAAGGGTAGCTAAGACGTAATGGAAGCTATACCCCACCAAATAGCATGGTGCTAACTGCATGCATAAAGATAGTTGCATAGAGTTGTTAAGTAATCTCTGATAAGCTTGCTTATGTGGTTTCTGACACTGTGTGACAAACTATTAGCAGTAAGCATGGACAGAAGTACAAAGAATAGCCAATGTGTCACAAACCTCCACATAAATATGGAAGTACATAAATGTACTTCACACTTCACTCAGTTGTTATTCTGATAAAACCAATCAGTGATTAACCCTTAGCGATCAGAATTCTCTTCTGAATGAAATTATCGCAATACTTCCAGTAATAAGGGCAGCGTGGAGCTTCTTTTATACAGTGATAGAAAACACAGTATAACACAGAAAGCTTCAATTCGACATACTGATCCATTTTACTCACAAATTTTGGCAAATTCTTTTGACCAATTACTAATCATTGTTAGTTTACGATTAATGGTAAACTGAAACCTTAAACCACAGACATTACTCATGAGAACATCAAACACAGCACTGTGTTTTGTATAAACAAGGCTTTAGCCTTGATTGAATGAACATAATGTAACATAATGTAGTTTAGTTACTTGCTTTTACTACATAGAATAGCTGAAAAATCCTGAACTGAACCCCTGAATTTTGTCTGTACTTTAGCCTAATTTTTAGCCTCGTATCTCCGGTGCAAAACTAAAGAAACAAACTTCAGACACCAAACATGTCATGTTAATCGACTCCAAAGGGGTTTTGCTGAAAGGTATTAGTAGTTACTGTGTGAAATCTCTGCAGAGTGGAGAGACTGCCCTGCATCTGGCAGCTGAACTGAAGAATGAGATGGTGCACAGAGATGGAGAAGATGTCCTCATTATCAGAACTCTAATGGAGCACAACGCTGATGTCACAGCAGTTACCAGACAGGTACATTACTCTCCTAATAACTTCTTCATTCAGAGTTACATGTTATTATTTCTTCATCGTAGCTCATTGAAACAAATGGAGAGATGGTGTGGACTGGTTTGTTGAAAAACATCATTTACACAATTTTCAATTTTCCACCCCAGATGTAGTCAGTCAGACAGTTTGTTCTTCAGTTTTAAACCAGAGCAACAAGACTAATGTTGTTAACACACACTGAAAGTCTATGGTCACCCAAATCTTTTCTGTAAATACACCCTCAAAACTTGACCCCCTTCAACCCAGTCAAAGCACATTTGTTAGGGTCATGCAGACTTTTCGATGTGGTTTAAGTCACAGTATGTGTTACTGTGAACTTTAAAAACGAAAACTTTATCGTGTAGCAGCAGCCACGACAGGCACTGTGCCGAATTCTGACTTGCCTGTAGAATTTGACTCCCCTTCACATTCACACACTTCATACAGACGTATAGACTCTAGATTATGTTCACAGTTCCTGCTGTTTTTATTATTAAACATATGTCTTTGGGTGTCTGTAGCAGCCACATACCTGCTTGACGTGTGTGCGCTCGACTGTGAAGACTCACAGTAAGTCATATTGTGCCTAAAACCACATCGACAAGTCTGTAAGACCTAAAGAAGAGCTGGATGCAGTTTGAGCCAGTTGAGAGACATTTTGGGGATGACTATTCACTATTCACTTTTAGTGTTTATTAGCAATGTTAGCCTCTTAGCCCCAGCACTGAACTAAAGAAGCAAAATTTAGACACCAAACTTGTCTCGGCTGATCGGCTACGTCAGGGGTAAATGGATTTTTCACCAAAAAATTGCTTTAAAAGGCAAAATTAATGCTCATCCAGAGCAAATAAAGCTGCTTAGACTGTAGATTTTTCTTGAATGTCTGTGTGTCTTTACGTACCTGTGCTGCTCCTACAGATGGGAGAAACTCCACTGCATTACTGTGCCAGAGTTGGCAACGCTGCGGTCCTGCAGGAGATGCTCAATCACGTCCCCAGCAGCCGTCTGCAGACAGCCATCAACAAGCACGCCAAGGTACTCACATACCGAGCTCAGGCCTCTCTGCTAGAGTGATAATGAGAGCTGAAGTTTGTGGTTAGAAGCAGTTGCTGCAGTTTTGCTGTGATCAGTCACTTTTTTGCGTTTAATCATGTAATCATTCTTTCTGTATATCTGTCCAACGTTCTTATTGTCTCACCACTTGACTGTCCATCTGTCCAAACTCTTTTTCTTGTGTGAAACAGAACGGCAGATCTCCGCTGCTGTTGGCAGCCGAGCGGGGTCACACAGCGGTGGTGAGGGTGCTGCTGGAGAACAGTGCCAGAGTGGACGTGTTTGATGAGGTGAGGCAGATAAAGTATCTCTCAGCCTGACAGCAGCCACAGCTGTAGGTTTTGAACCTGTGAGGTAGTCAGTGTTGAGTTATTCTGTGTAAAGTCAGACAGATTATTTGATTTGACAGGAAACATGAATAGTGGGCACCGAAATTTGACACGAGATGTTGTTTATCAGTCTCAAGGGATGAAGCCTTCTCCCTGTGTTCAATTCAGGTGTTACACACGCTTTTATTACACCATACACTAAGTACTTCACTATCTAGTGCGCAGACGTTTGTAGGGTAAGATCTCAGATAAGGTCTCAGACTGAACACAAATATTTTGCACTAAATGGAATGACACATAACTGTGCAGTATCTCATACCATTGAATTGCATTTGAATAGCCTTGATATAAATAAACCAGCAATTTTATCTGCATCTGTTGTTCACTTTGAAATCTGAGCCAGGATCGAACTCCAATCTCCCACAAGTAGGACTAGTGAATTAAAACGTGTGAAGGCTACTGTAACGGCTGCTGTTACAACAAATCTGCATCACCATAAGGTATACACTCTATGGACAAAACTATTGGGACACCTACGCATTACACCCACAGGAGCTTTTATGACATCTCATTCTAAATCCATGGGCATTAATATGGAGTTGGTCCCCCTTTGCAGCTATAACAGCTTCCACTCTTCTGGGAAGCTTTCTACAAGATTTTGGAGTCTGTCTGTGGGAATGTTTGCCCATTCATCCAGAAGAGCATTTGTAAGGTCAGACACTGATGTTGGACGAGAGGGTCTGGCTCGCAATCTTCATTCTAGTTCGCCCCAAAGGTGTTTGATGGGGTTGAGGTCAGGGCTCTGTGAGGGCCAGTCAAACTCTTTTACACGAAACTCACCCAGCCATGTCGTTATGGACCTTGCTTTGTGCACTGGGGCTCAGTCATGCTGGAACGGAAAAGGGCCTTCCCCAAACTGTTCCCACAAATCATACAATGGAAGCATACAATTTTTCAAAATGTCTTGGTGCTTAAGCATTAAGATTTCCCTTCACGGGAACTAAGGGGTCTAGGCCAACCCCTGAAAAACAACCCCATTGCATTATCCCTCGCTGGACCCACTCTATGAGTTTGCTTGGTCTGTCGCTTTGTGACTAAGCTGTTGTTGCTCCTAGGTGCTTCCATTTCACAATAATAGCACTAACAGCTGTCTGGGGCAGATCAAGCAGGCCAGATATTTCACAAACTAACTTGTCAGAGGTGGCAACCTATGACAGTGGCATGTTTAAAGTCACTGAGTTCTTCAGTACGACTCATTCTACTACCATTGTTTGTCTATTGAGACTGCAAGGCTATGTGCTTAATTTTATCCATTAGTAATGGGTGTGGCTGAAACACCTGAACTCAATAATTAGTGACCAGCTGCGCTCATGAGGTGCCGGGTTTAAAAGACTTAAAATTGAAACAACTGAGCCGTTAACAAGCTCGAGACAAAAACTGAAACTGAAAAAGAAACTTCATGTTGAGTCATGAAGAGATAGCGGTGTTAATAAATACAGTTTGTTCCCACCAAAACTGTAATTCTACTCCAGCTATGAAACATGGGGTGTGAGTGCACACACACACAGTGGCAGCAGCATGTACATCTAGGGACTGTTTCACAAACTTTGCTATGTGCAAGCAGAGATCTGTGAGATGCCATGATTTTCTTCTCTTTTTTTTTTTTTTGAAAAAGTAGGAGCTGGAAACAAGGTTTACATTTTCTTCTCTATATCTCTTATCTGTCTGAGATGTGTGGGTTTATTGTAAAAACATTACTATATCTCAATGTACCCTCCCACATTTGGCACAGTTTTCCATGCATGGGTCCCAGGAACTGTGCGTTCAGGCTCGGGTGCTAGATTTGTACCGAACGCAGAAAGAATGCGGCTGTTGGAAAAGTTTCACAATGCATGAGAAAATGTTTCTGTTTATAAAAAAGTCAGAGGCACAGTGTTTTGTATCAGAAAGTGTAATAAGACAACCAGTCAGCCCTAACTAGTCAGGCCAAATTTGCACTCCTGGTTTCTCTTTTCTGCTTTGATGGCTGTCTGAGCATCACCTCGGCATTAGCAGTACACTACAGCCAATGACATCTCCCAGTGTGGACACTCTACTTGTGCTAGAAGTGACTAATACACTATGGACTGTGCATTTGTAAGCTGCTGTTGCTAGTCATGTGGTATCCATGTTACCAGTCATGTGACCTTTGTGATATACAGGAAGGCAAAGCCGCCCTACACCTGGCCGCTGAGCAGGGCCACGACGACATCGCTGACATCCTGCTGTCCCATAAGGCCTTTGTGAATGCTAAGACCAAGCTGGGCCTCACACCACTACACCTCAGCGCGCAGAATGGCTCCGCTCGTCTGGTCAGACTGCTGGTGGAGACTCATCAGGCCTGCGTCGACGCCCTCTCTCTGGTCAGAACTGCTAAACTGCTGAACATGTTTTATCAATCTTCTTAGCATTATCATATGAAGATCTGTAAGAGATACATAAATGGCTGTATCCTCTTAAGAGCTGCACAATAGATTGTTTTTTAATATTCATCAAAATACTGACTTTACAGTACTAATACCGCATGATCCTGCAGCCCTCCAGCCAATCACAGTGGTGTTTATTGTGAGCTGTGAGCATCATGACAAACCTCTGAGTTTCTTTGCATAGTTTTTTAATGAATTATGATGGTCATGTGATCCACAAATGTAAATGATGTTGGTCAGAGTAATGCAGGACACTTCAGCTCACATCAGGGCTTCTCTAATGTGTTTTTAATATAGTGCAAGACGTATCACAATGGCTGTATAGTGTTTTTTTACAAATTGTGAAGCCCACTTAAAGGGGCTTATTTCTGCATAAACATTTCTGCATAATTAAATTGTTAAGATGTAAATAATGTTGTTAGGAGTGGTTTGATAAATGTTCAGACTTGTTCACAGTGGTGGGCATAGGAACCAAGTTTCTTGATAAGTCTCTCATTTCATATTAAACCACTTTGTTTACATTGTAATGACTGAATTATGGAATAATGAAGGTGTTTGTAAACAGGGCTTACTGTTTGTTTGTTTTTTACATTATTTAATGCTTTTTTAACGATTAATTTTGTCTCCCAGAGCAAACAGACTCCACTACACTTAGCCGCTATTAGTGGACAGTTAGACGTGTGCAGCAGTTTGTTAAACCTCAGAGCTGACCTCACCGCTGCAGATATCGTGAGTATTTACTCAGAATTGTCTTTCCATCTCACTAGTACAGTTAGTTTGATCTTTGTCACCATTTTAATGTGTGTTGTGTGTTGTGCAATACTCATCAGAAAGTGTTTTGGAAACACCTGGCTTTTCAAAATGTCCTCAAATGAGCATGTGTTTTTTTGTCTGAAGTGGCTGCCCACTGCCTTCAGCTACACTACATTGTGTTGTTACTTTTTATAGCTCACAAGACGTCCTAGTGTGTCCTAAACAAGTCTATACATGTGTGTGTGTGTGTTCCCTCAGCATGGACAGACCCCTCTTCACCTGGCAGCGGAGAACGACCACTCTGAGGTGGTGAAGCTCTTTCTGAAGCACAGGCCTGAGTTAGCCACACTGGCCAACGTGGAGGGAGCTACATGCACCCACATCGCAGCGGCCAAGGGCAGCGTGGCTGTCATTCGAGAACTGCTCAAGTTCAGCCAGGGAGGGCTGACCACACTGCACAACAAGGTCAGGAAGCCCCAAAGGCTGAAGGTCACTTAAAGCAATTGGATGATCACACCAAACCAAACCAGAGTGTTCTTCTTTCCTTATTATACTGTTACGCTCAAAATATTCAAAACCTACCCTTCTTTTGGAAGCACCTACCAATACATACATGCATACATACGTAACTAAATAAATAAATAAATAGTCAAATAAATACATAAATAAATAGCCAAGTCCTTAAATATTTGAAATATTTAAATATTTGGACATTATTTTAGCTGTCACGGTATATTGGAGTTAAAATAACCTAACAAATATGAACTCAAAATATTCCTAATTGTCAGACATTCCACATTAATTTGAGGGTATTTACATCAAATGTATACAGTGTAGGAATTACCACCATAGACATCACCAGACACTGGGTTTCGTCTCTGGTGATGCTCTGCCAGGTGTCTGTAGCTGTCTCCAGTTCCTGCTTTATCTTGGTGTATTTTACCTTCAGTTTGGCCTTCAGTAAGTGAAATGTATGGTCGACCGGATTGAGATCAGATGACCAACCTCGGAGAACGTTTCACTTCTTTTCCTTTCACAATATGTTTAAGGTCATTGTCCGTCTGCATTATGAATTATCTGGCTGAATCTGAGCAGATAATATAGCCCTATACACTTCAGAACTCATCCTGCATGTCACGCATCCAGCAAGCTCTCAAGAAGAGACGGACTTCACATCCCAAAATCCCATGGGAGATCATGTGACTGAGCAACCTCACTCCGACTCAGACTCCGACAGAGACTCCATTGGCCATAGTTCAATGGAAGCTCACGTTACTTCTGACTCTCGCTTGCGCTCCTATCAGCGCTCACAATCACCAGAATACTAACTGGTTTCACCTGTGTGTGTTGTCATATGACAAGAGCAGTTAGTATTTAAGCCCAGGCTTTAGTTAGTTTCTTTGTGCAGTATTGTTTCCCTGAAACCTACTGAGCGTTGTTACTCTGATTGCCTGTACTTCGTGTTTTTGACCACTTCTTTGTTTATCCCGTTTCTGACTTTTGCTTACAGTTACATCATCAATTAATTCAATGGAAGCAGTTTCACTGGCAGCCATACATACCAACTCCATAACACTACCTCCACCATGCTGGACAGATGGGGTGGTATGCTTTAGATCATGAGCTGTTGCTTCCCTTCTCCGTACTCTTGTCTTCCCATTGTTCTGGTACTGGTTGATCTCATCTGTCCATAAGATTGTTCCAGAACTCCACAAGTTTTTAGATGCTTTTTTGGCAAACTCTAATCTGATTTTTCTGTTTTTGAGGCTTACTTACTAAATGGTTTATATCTTGTGGTATATATCTTGTAAACTCTCCGTTTTCACTCTGATGAAGACCTCCTGAAGATGTTCTTGATCTGAGGGGACTTTTATCAGCAGGGAAAGAATTCTTCTGTCATCCACAGTTGTTTTCAGTGGTCTTCTGGGCGTTTTGGTGTTTCTGAGCTCCCCAGTACATTCTTTCTTTTTAAGAATGTACCACATAGTTGATTTATTACGGATTTGGCCACACCTAATGTTTTTGCCCTCTGTCTGATGGATTTTGATTTTTTTTGGACCTTGGACATGTTAAGAGTTAAGAGCAGTAGATTCGAAATGCAAATGCCAAACTTGTATTCAACTCTAGAACTTTTATCTGGTTACTTGTAAGGGAAATATTGAGGGACATGGAACAGCTGAGCAGCCAGTGATCCAATTACTTTTGGGTCCCTAAAAATGAGAGGCTGTGTATAAAAATTAGTGTAATTCCTGCACCGATTTGGAAGTAAATGTCCTCAAATTAAAGCTGCAGATAATTTCAACTGCAGTATGCTATAGTAGAAACTAAAATGACAGTAACCCTGTAAATGTTCAGATATGTTTGAACCTGACTATATTTACATATATGTGAATATTTTTTAATAATTTAAAGGGAGACTTGTATTGAGAGATACAGCAGGTTTGCAATTCATTTTATTTATTTATTTTGTTATTATTTTAATTTTGAATAGTTTTGTTATAGGAATGCAGCTATGTACTTCACACAAACACAAGTGCAAGTTCCAAGCACTGCAAAGCTATGCATGTTGCTATGTGTGTTATATAACATTTATTAACGCAAGTATTTATCCTTGTAACAGTTATTAGACGCACCTGTTAAAATAGGATTAATAACTATCTGCCTCCACAGGCTAACGGCTCGTGTCCTCTGCATTTGGCTGCTGCAGGGGGTCACACAGAAGTCGTCAAGGTTCTTCTGGAGGCGGGAGCTTCAGCTGCAGAGGAGGATTTAGTGAGTTAATACAATATCAGTAACCAAAATGCTTATAGCTTCAAAGAACAACTGAAGCCTATGCTTATAAAGTAGCACAACAATATCAAAGCTCAACACATTGCCCTGTGCTGATGTGTGACTGCAGGAGGGAATGACTGCTGTCCACCTGGCTGCTCGGAGTGGACACACACACATTCTGGAGGTCCTGAAAGCCAGCATCTCTCTGAAGATCATCAGCTCCAAGGTGTGTGTGGTTGTTTTTTTTATGCATTATGTAGGAAAACCAGAGAAATCCAGGCTAATATGCTCCATGTATATATATATATATATACAGGTCATACACTTCATTAAGTGCATCTCCTTGTTTCTTCACTTATTGTCCATTTTATCAGCTTCACTGACCATATAGGAGCACTTTGTAGTTCTACAGTTACAGACTGTAGTCCATCTGTTTCTCTGCGTACTTTATGACCCTGTTCTTCAGTGGTCAGGACCCCCAACAGGACCACCACAGAGCAGGTATTATTTGGATGGTGGATCATTCTCAGCACTGCAGTGACACTGACAAGGTGGTGGTGTGTTAGTGTGTGTTGCGCTTGTACGAGTGGATCAGACAAAGCAGTGCTGCTGGAGTTTTTAAACACCTCAGTGTCACTGCTGGACTGAGAATCGTCCACCAACCAAAAATATCCAGCCAAGAGTGTCCGTTGGGCAGCGTCCTGTGACCACTGATGAAGGACTAGAGAATGACCCACACAAACTGTGCAGCAATCGATGAGCTTTACATCTACAAGGTGGACCAACAAGGTAAGTGACAGGGTGGACAGTGAGTGGACACAATGTTTAAAAACTCCAGCAGCACTGCTGTGTCTGATCCACTCAGACCAGCGCAACACACCACCACCACATCAGTGTTACTGCAGTGCTGAGAATGATCCCACCCAAATAATACCTGCTCTGTGGTGGTCCTGTGGGGGTCCTGACCATTGAAGAACAGGGTGAAAGGGAACTAACAAAGTATGCAGAGAAACAGATGGACTACAGTCTGTAATTGTAGTTCTACAACGTGCACCTGTAGGGTTAGAGGTGCTGATAAAATGGTCAAAAAGTATAGATATTTATTTGATAGAAGATATTTATGAGGAGGTTAAATGTAAGATAATCCTCTTGCGTAACGAAAGAGAAAGTCAAAGAAAATTAAGTGAAAAAACAGGAGTTTTCAAAAACGATCGAAGTCTACAGAGAAATTGGGACTCAACAACTAAGTAACAACTATGCAAGACCTGTTAGACCACCAACGCTGACCCTGTCAGATAAACAGCACTTAAAGGTGTTCATCTGTGAGAGAAAGGAGAAAATCAAACTGCTTCAGATCTGAAACATCCACATCCATCCTTCCACTGTGAGAAGACAACTCAGTGCTATGGGTCTGAAAGGATGTGTAGCTGTCAAGAAGAACCTCACTGAGAAAAGGAGACAGACACATCAAACAGAGAAACTGCCGATATTCTTAGAACAATGGACCGACCACCCCAGAGTCCAGACCTCAACATCACTGAACATATTTAGGATTAAGGTGGGTGTTGAAAAATATCCCTGCAGATTTCTTTGAAACACTGAAAGTGAGTCTCTTGAAAAGAATGGAAGCTGTAATAAAGGAAAAGTGTGGACACAATAAATACTGATCTTGTATTTTGTTATTGAGGCTTCTGTGAAACGTTCTGTGAAATATGTTTTCTGCTTTTTTATGACTCTGTAAAATGAATAACTCAATGCCCAGTTTGACTGGAAATAAAGGCACAATGGTCTCTGACTTGTGCAGAGTACTGTGTATAATACATGTGGGTGACCCCATGTCCTAAAAAGGCGTGTTTGTGTGTCCGTGTCCTATGTGTGGGCTGCTCTGTGGTTTCTGGGAGGGATGTGACTTAGTCACATATCCATCACACACCCATTGGATGCTGGTGCAGCAAACACAGTGGGTGTTAACAGAAAAGGAAATTAAATCATTTTTACTGTGTCTTTGTGTAGACGGGGCTAACGGCTCTGCATGTGGCAGCCTGTTTCGGACAAGTAGACTTTGTGAGGGAGATTTTGACCAAAGTCCCAGCAGCTATCCGCAGTGAGCTGCCCACGGGGAGCAGCAGTAGCAGAGACAGCACGAGGAAACACCAGCTCTCGACTGAGGTGACCCCAGTCTGCACTTTCACAGCATACACTAACACTAATATCGCTGAAAGCAAGTCAGTATGTGTGCAAGCATGTATTGTAGGGCTACACAATATATTACTTCTTAATTATTATCGAGATATTGGCCTTTACAGTACTGATATCACAGAAGACTGCAAGGTATGAATGAGCCTCTAACCATGCTGTGAGCATCCTGACCAATCACAGCTCCAAATGAGTGTTTTGATAAATCAGTACAGTTGAATGGAAGGAAATTTGGATTGATGACAGTCTTTTGGGTGCACACTGATTAGTTAATTTATCCTGATTTTTTCTATTTTTGCTTTTTTTGTTTGCCTTCAGAGGTGGCACGGTGGCGCAGTTGGTAGTGCTGTCACCTCACAGCAAGAATGGCCTGGGTTCGATTCCCAGCCGGGTGACCAGGGTCATTTCTGTATGGAGTTTGCCTGTTCTCCCCGTGTCTGCGTGGGTTTCCTCCGGGTATTCCGGTTTCCTCCCACAGTCCAAAAACATGCAGTCAGGCCAATTGGACATGCTAAAATTGCCCCTAGGTGTGAATGTGTATGTCTGTCTGCCCTGTGATGGACTGGTGACCTGTCCAGGGTGTATCCTGCCTTCCGCCCCAATGACAGCTGGGATAGGCTCCAGCACCCTACCGTGACCCAGAAGGATAAGTGGTTTAGATGATGTATGTATGTTTGCCTTCAGTGTTTTGTGCTTTTGATAATTTTAATAGACATCAGCGTCACTAATTAATGACATTCTATTAAAATATTGGTGTTACAAGAGTGACACTGGAGTATTCTCACCTAAAATTAGTTGATAAAGCAAGAGTCTTGTTACAAAAACAGTAATAGGACATCAGAGTCATAATTAATCTTTCAGTACTTTCACTTCTGATATTTAAGTGCATTTGAATACTTTTGTACTTTTACTCAAGTGGAGGACTAAAGGCAGGACTTCTAGTTTTACTGGAGTAATAATTTACCTTGGGTATCTCTACTTTAACTCAAGTACATGATTTGTGTACTTCATCCACCACTGGTTACAAAGCCTTCTCTATGGCTTTGGCACTCCAGCAAACCACTGTTTGGACCGTCATAGAGGGAACTTGGAACAGTGATAAATCTTCCCAGAAGTGGCCAGCCTAGCAAAATTCCAGTAAGACAACTCGTTCATGAAGTCACAAAAGAACCCAGACAATCATCTAAGTAACTGCAGGCCTCATTCACCTCATTCAGGTGTTAGCATTCATGGTTTCACTATTAGAAAAAGCCTGAGCAAAAATGGCATCAATGGGAGAGCTGCAAGGGCAAAACCACTAACCACGAGGAACATAAAGGCTCGTCCCACAAGCCTTTTGGAATAATGTTCTGGAATAATGAGGAGTGGAAAGTGAAACATTTTAGAAGACAAGGGCTTTACAACTACGGTAAAGCTAACACAGCATTCCACAATTTTCTGTAATCGATGGAACCATTAATTCTGCACTCTACCTGAAAATCCTGCAGGAGAATGTCTGGTCAGAAGTCTGTGATCCAAAGCAAAAGACTAAGCCCCAATCCCAGTTCTTATTTTTACCCCAAACCCTTGTTTTCAAGTGTCACCTTGCCCCTTGGAATTGAGTTAGAAGGGGTAGTGGTTGAAATCTTCCCCTACAAATTGGGACCCTCAAATAAAGACGAACATTACTTCATTAACAGGCTACAAGCACTGCTCTGTAGGCAACCCTGCCAGTCTGCAGTGATAGCAGAGGAGGGTAAAGTTCAGCTCCTCACTGCTGGGCTTTAGTTACATTTAGGAAATGATATGCCTTCAAAGGGGGGCGGGGGGTGGGATTATTTATTAACGCCCACCCCTAATTCTTCAGTGATATGAGGCTGAAATTAGCTGTTCGCTAACTTGTTCAAATGTTCCCGTTCCACCCATTCAGCTGAGGCGCAAGAATATAACTGCTGTACCATTTAAGGTGGTAATCGTAGTTTTTTTGTGGAGAAAATTCTCACATTTGTGGGTTTCTTTGGTCTCTTGTTCAGCCATCTTGCCAGTTTTTCTTTTTTTTCATAATGCTCTGTTTGGAGCCTCTGAAAAACCTCCGTCTGGAGGGTAATGTAGCCCTAACACTTCCCCCTACCCCTCTATCTCAACAAAAATTGAGACACCCTACCCTTAGGTGTGAACACGCAAAATGGAGGGGAAAGGCTAAAGTGGTAGGGGTGAGGAGTAAAATGGGATTGGGCCTAAATTCACCTCTGAATGACTCAAAAGAAACAAAATTAAAGTTTTGGGGTGGGCTAGTCAACGTCCTGCCTTAAACTCCACTTAGATGCCATGGCAGGACCTTAAATAGGCAGATCAAGCTCAGTAGCCTTTAAATGTTGCTGAATTTAATACATTTTACAGTGATTGGCAGACACTCTTATCCAGAGTGACTTACAATTTGATCATTTTTACACAGGTAGGCGAAGGTAGTGTTAGGAGTCTTGCCCAAGGACTCTTATTGGTATAGTGTAGGGTGCTTAACCAGGCAGGGATTGAACCCCATTCTACAGTGTAGAAGGCAGAGGTGTTACCCACTGTACTACACCAACCACATACCTGCACAGCTATGTGCAAGACTGATCTCCTGTTGTAGAAACATTTGGTTGCAGTTGTTGCTGCTAAAGGTGGCACAACCAGTGATTAACTTTAAAAAAAAAATCTTCAATTAATAAATTTTCGTTTAGAATTATTGTTTGTGTTTTGCATTTCCTCATGTTTGCTTTGTTTTGTATGACATTTTGTATTAGGATCTGAAACCACTTAGTGTGACAGATATGCGAAAACAGAGGGAGTCAATAAGGGGCAAACACTTTTCACAGCACTGTAGAAATAGAATTGGCTTTTTTTGAAAGTAGAAAGAAAGTTGTTCAAGCAGCAGTTTTATCAGTTTTGAATTACACACAGCTGATGTTACACAATGTTCTGCATGTCGCATACAGTTGCACATTTTCAGAAAGAGGTCTCAAATTTTATGGCACTTTTTTTACGTCACAAATTACCTGATATATGAGAGCTGTATTTTTTATGTAATTTCTTTCTTTGATTTGTTTTTTATGTTTCATTTGTTTTATATTCTCTCTCTCTCTCTCTCTCTCTCTCTCTTTCTCTCTCTCTCTATATATATATATATATATATTAGTTTTATATATATATATATATATATATATATATATATATATATATATATATATATATATATATTATAGCTTAGACTTATACATAGTAGTATTTTGCAGCATATGCACAGTAGTATTTTGTCCATGTGTAATATGAATTTATTTTGTGTCTGGTCGTGTGCAGTCAGGATATACTCCCTTGCACCTAGCAGCTCAGTCTGGGCATGAGAACGTGGTGCGCTTGCTTCTGAATTCATCTGGAGTGCAGGCTGATGCTGAGACAGACTCAGAGGCAAGTCCCCCTAGATACCACCACTTAACACACACAAACACACACATGCATACACAAATATATAGGTCTCTGCTGTAATAGATCTCTGCTGTAATAGATCTCTGCTGTAATAGTTCTCTGCTGTAATAGGTCTCTGCTGTAATAGATCTCTGCTGTAATAGATCTCTGCTGTAATAGATCTCTGATGTAATAGATCTCTGCTGTAATAGGTCTCTGCTGTAATAGATCTCTGCTGTAATAGATCTCTGCCGTAATAGATCTCTGAAGTTTTCCAAGCCTGGCAGGTTTTGTCCTGTGTATACTTTCCCTAAGAGACACTGAGAGTCACTGGATCCTCTGGATTATGAAGTCATTTAGAAGTCAAAATATGAATAACATTACATACACAATACAAACAAGCTACCAGTGGCGTGTGCTGAAATGAAGCTACATGAAAGTAAATTTACTGTTAAATTTTAAGGAAACACTTTATTTGGAGTGGTTCTTTGTAGTCAACAACGTATCAGTGAATTAGCAGTAGTGAAACATCTGAATACAGTGAAGTAAATGTCTTGTAGATAAACTGTTGATCCATTACTTACATTAAGCAGATATTTTGTTGATGTGTTACATGAAGTAGATTTAATATGTTACTTCTATTAAGTAAAACAACTCAAAACCTAACCCTGGCCCTAATCTTAACTCTAACCTTAACCTCAACCCAAAACCCAGTCCTAGCCCTCACCCTGGCCTTAATCCCATCCCTTCCCTTGACCTCAACCTGAAACCCAGTCCAGTGAAGCTCTGGTTACATAATGGTGTCAGCAGTGTGTCTGTAACAGCTTGTTGAGGATGTTGATGGTCTGTATTAAACCTGTTACATGTTCAGTTCCTCTCAGGTTGAACATCCACAGATATGAATTTAGACGCTCCACATAAAGTGAAAAACAACTGAATTCAGCAGATTATAAAGAAATTTTATTTATAGTCTCTTGAGAATCTACCGAATGTATTCACTGCTGCTACATCATTCATACGGTGTTGATATGTTACTGAGAGTGTTTATTTCATCTAAAAAAAAGGACCACTTCAAATAAAGTGTCATAGTTTTAATACTATTAAAACCCAACCCCAGCTGCTCAAAGAGTACACTGCCACTGCCAAAACCACTTAACTGCAGCAGCCTTAGCTTGCACGTAGCAGTCATATTTTGGGTTCTTAATGACTTTGCAGTTCTGTGGAGACAAGACAAATCGGCTTTGGAACATTTTTGTTTACAGCAGGATGATTTTCCAAAATGCTGTTCATTTTTCCCTTAGAGAAATCGGTGCTCCTAATATGGCGCTGACTGCTGAAAAACAACACAGCGTTGAGAGTTCTGTTGTCCTGGTTAAACGTCAGATGATTTTTATGTGAACAGTTAACTACATCCGAGTGTGGAAAGCGACTAGCGGGCACATTTGTGTTCCAGGGTTTGACTCCTCTGCACCTGGCTGCTCAGAGTGGTCACACGGCTGTGGTTGGTCTGCTGCTCAGCAGGTCCGCCTCTCTGCTGCACCTCAGGGACCGGCGAGGGCGCACCTGCCTGCATCTGGCCTCCGCACACGGGCACGTGGCCACGGTGAGGGTCCTGCTGGGCCAGGGAGCTGACATCAACCACACCGACAAGGTCAGACATCAACAGCATATTACTTACATCACAAAATTCAGTCCTGAATATTGTTGTTAGTACTGTTTTCAGGTATGATGCATCTATTTTTATAGGTAACAGTATGTCATACAGTGTCAGAAACCACATAAGCAAACCAGTTAGAGTTAAAGGAGAATTCCACCATTTTTTAAATTTCAGCATATTTCAATTGTTAAGATGATCAATAATTTAATGTATTCACTAATGCAATTAAGTATAGGATTCATTGACAAAGGAAAGCAGTATGTAAATTCCGGCTGCCCCGTTGTGCAGTATGCTCAGTCTCTGTGTTTTGGCCTCAGGGTGGCTGGACTGCTCTGCACTATGCGGCTAAAGCCGGCTGTCTGGAGGTGGTGCGTTTCCTGGTGGAAAGCGGAGCAACGGCACGGGCCGAGTGCCACGCCGGCCGCACCCCGTTGCAGTATGCGGCCGAGGAGAACCACCAGGCCACCGTCGGCTTCCTGCTCCGCCAACGGGACAACAACACGCTGCGTCTTCTAGAGGACAAAAAGGTGAAACGAGCATCACTCGCACCCCCTTTAGCCATGTTTTCCAGTCTCCATGATAAAATCTACCGACATTTGATTAGTGTGCTGAAAAACAGCTTAATTGTCAGACCAGGGCAGAAAAAGAACAACAATATAAGCATTCACACAACAAAACTTGTGCAACATATAATAATATACATACATCTTGAAAGAGCAGTAAATTAATACATTATTATAACAATAATACACTAATAAATGTTTGGTAAGTCAAACTCTGCGTTCAGGGACGTCTACCAGCATTAATGTTATTTTTTACAGCTGAAACAGATCTTTACTCTTTGTTCTCTTAGTTTTTAAAGATATAATAAAGATATTAAGTTATAATCTAATCTTTTAGAACCCCTTCCTCACTTTTAGTATTTGAAATTAACTCTGTTTTCCTGTTGTAACACTAGAGGACCAGCCAGATTTCCATCCTGTCAACCTAAATTCAAGCAAATACCTGAAATGTTGCAAAATATTATGCAAATTAGACGCTATTTCCATCAGTCTCTACAAAAGAATAGGACTTTCATGGTGATTTTATTTGATATTTGCTTTTTTATTCAATGTGTCAAAATGCACATAGAAAACGTGGGTGGAAACCTGACCATAACTATTTTTTGCTTCCTGTTGCAACACTAGAGGGCAGTATTGTACAGTACATACCTGTGAGTATTTAGTGTGGTGGAATTTTGGGTTGGAATAGGGGCGCATTCAGAAAAACATTCAGTTGTGAAACATTGGACCACGCCTGCTCAACTAGCAAGCGAGCTTGCATTCAGTCTTTTAGTGCTATCTCAATCTACAGTGTACAGCAGTGTTTTGCTGCTGAATGTGACCCTGTGGAGGTGTGCTGTGACTGGCATTACTGGTGGTTCTAATGTTGTTATATTTACCTGTAGTTTGTATTTGGTGTAGAGAGGCCACTTTTTTTCTGATATTGGAACCTTTAGTATCAGCCAGTTTTGATACTGATCCAATATTTTTCTTTTCTTGTATTCATTTAGTTTGTGTGTGATCTGATTGCATGCCGTTGCTTATTTACTGTCTGAAGTGCATGAAGTGTCTCATGTAGTGTTGAATTTGTTGCTTGTAGTTTACATCTGACTGTGTCATTTGTTTGTCTTTAATGCTCACATAGCACATTCAACTACAGCTTCACAAAACCTGGCATGGAAACATGGTTAACTGGTTTCACAACAGCAGTTAATGACTTTCTCTGTTAAACCAGCTGTAAATATTCAAGCAGTGATTAATCTTTATGTGCATCTCAGATGAAAGCATGACATTAATGACGAACAGCCAATCGCATGAAACATGAGGAGAAGTGAGATTTTCAAAAGGAAGGAAGAAACCATGCCAGGCATAAGTAGAATGTAGAACGTACAATGTTTATAGCAGTAAAAAGCTTTCGCCATTGCCACCATGTTAGTGCTCACTGCAGTTATAAGTGCTGTATAGTCTTAATATCTATGGCGGAATCTCAAATGGCTTTCTATGTAGGTCATGAAATAACAGCTTCTGCATTTAAATCATGCATCTTATGTCTAGTATACATTCATTTGTGTTCATCTATAAGCTGTGCAACTCCCTGTCTAACATTTAGGCTACTATTTGAGTGTGAAAGCCATAGTTTAATGCAGGTCCACATGGAGCCATGTCTGTTCCCAGAAAGGAATGTAAGTGTGCACATTGTGTATCGTGTGCTCATCAAGTCCTATTTACTATTTATATAAGATCCTCGAGTTTGCTATTTACTTTTAAATGCTGCAGTAAAAATCACTTTTTCAGATCTGCATATTGTGACAATGATCATTTTTAGTGCATTTAGTATTGAATTATCATGCAAATTGACTGACTGTCATGATGATTTGGCAATCACCCTAATATGCTGCAGTAAAATCATTTTTTATATATTTTTATGATTTTTAAAATGTGTATTGCAGGATACACTCTGATCTGACATCTTATGTTTTTTGGACTATTTATGTGAAATAATCATTGTATACTGTCGTGAATACGCCACAATTTCGTACGGCTCTATCATGCATTGTGATAGCCTGCTCCTTTCTCTCCATTTGGAACACTATTACTGCAAGTTTGCTTTACGCTTTCCCCATCAGTGCGTCTGTGTAAACCAGGCTTAACGATGGTTTATACCAGAAGTGGTCAAAAATGGACCGGGCTTAGCTGATATCCATTAAAATATGGCTGGCTCTGATTCTAATGTGGACATTGTTAATATTTTCTTTTTGAGGACTGCTAAACTATATTAAAAAAATATTATTTTCCACAGTTTTCTAAGCATAACATTTGGTGTCTTGGCCCCTTTACAACTGGCTAGGACCCTGAAAGCTCTTCTCTGTGTCCCTCTTATAGGTGACCCAGGTTTCATGACCTGCGTAATAAACTAAGGCTTCTTTTTCACACGATTCTTCGCCACAGATGTCAAAAAAAATAAACTAAAAAGGACCAGAATGGTCCACCTTGGTCAGAAAGCTGCCTCTGAATGGTCAGATGTTTGCCCTGATTGGTCAAAGAGCTGTTTATGATGAAGTCTTAACTTCCAAACCTGGAGCAGGTTAGACGTGCAGCTTAAGTTGACATGGTGATGGAGCCCTACATTCAAAAATGTTTTAAAATGTACCTAATTTAAATGTGTACATCAGTTCCACACAAATGAAATGTTACATCAGTTTAAATTAAGTCAATTAATTAAGTACTTACACATAGTAATTATGTTGATGTAACATATTTCATTCATGTGGAGTCAATGTACACATTTGAATTAAGTAAATTTAAAGCAAACTTTAAGCAGTTTGCTTTATTTGTCAGTGTAGAGGTGGACAATATGACATTATTTTTTATATTGTGATACATTTTATTATTATGATGCACAAAATGCTTTTCTGAGCATGTTGTGGATATCGTCATTAATCCCTTAATATCCCAGGCTTAATACATACTAAGGCTTATTATTCAGTAACTACAGGGACTTCAGTGCAACCTCGCTGAGCTATTCTTAGGTTATAAAGTGTGTAATAAAACCCACCCGCCGGCGAGCCCACGGCTTGTTAAGGGGTTAAAGAAGACTGACCAACTGCATGTTTTTTTAAAAGAGAGCATCGTTAGTCCTGTTTAATTGTGTTTAGTGCAGTACAGTATGTGAAATGTTAAATCCCTAATCATACATGTGAAATAAAAATCATTGTGTGTCAAAATATGTATCAAAATATTGTGATACATACTGTGTATCGTGAAAGTGTCTTTGAGTATCTTGATGTATTGTTGCCATATTGCCCACCCCATATGTAGCCCCATAACAATGACCCACCATCGTGAAACAGAGTTATATTGAAGTCTATAGCTAGCTAAGCTTTGTGAGACAGAGCCCTGATGTTGTGTTTATCGCCTGTAGTTCGTGTTTGACCTGATGGTGTGCGGGAGGCTGAATGCCAACGTAGCTCTGGAGGAGCTGGTGCTTCACTCTGCGGCTCCTCTGACCACGGCCGTGCGCCTGTCCAGGGCCCTCAGCCTGGCCGCTCTGAGGGAGAAGGAGCGCTCCGCCCATCTGCAGGCTGCCGCTCAACACTGCGAGGCCATGGCCTCTGATCTCCTGAGCCTGGCCTCCTCGACCGAGGGCCGGGGCGCCGGGGTGGTCCTGAGGGCAGTGGATCACCGGGGAGCCAGCGTGCTGGACTGTCTGATAGAGGGGAGGCAGAAGGGTGTGGTAGCCCACCCTGCAGTGCAGAAGTACCTGACCGAGGTGTGGTACGGCAGCCTGCAGTGGGACTCGTGGAGGATCTTGCTGCTGTTCTTCAGTCTGCTGCTCTGCCCTCCACTCTGGCTCGTCCTCTCACTGCCTCTCAAACACAGGTACTCTCACTGACCTGAATGAAACATGGATATTCAGAAGATATATAATATGGAACAGATTATTTCTGTACTAATTTATTGACTGTTATTGAAGCGATTAACGCACAGTTTCTTCTATTATGGTGCAAAGAAGTAACAGAATCTGGTTCTCGTTATCCTTCCTCTAGTGTCATCGACCACTAATAGACTTTGTCTGCTAATCATTACAGCCATGCCATAATTTTATGCATAGTCAATCAGCCTATTTACAACAAAGATTTTACTATTTTTTTAATGTTTACTGATAAAAATTGATAATGGCCTTCCCTAATATTCACTACCAGCTTCCGTAAATTTGCTTAGGATCAGAAGGAAATCAGAATCGTTTATTGTTATATATGATTCACATAGCTTGCAAGTAATTTGTTACAAAGAGTCTTTCACATAAAGACAGAAGACAGACATTATCAGCATCTAACAGATGTTTCAAACCAATATTTGATAGCATATTCATTTAACTCCAAAGAAAAGAATGTGTAGGTGACACTGGATTATTGTGCTAAAATATCTGCATTTTATTCATTTTACTGGATTTCTAACTCTCTACAAACTACTGTTACATTTCTTTGTAGTACTTATGTAGGCAGATTTAGTCCCAGTTTCTGTATTTTATTAATGTGTTTAGTTCAGCATTGCCAGTACACTGAGAATATTGGATATCAGCATCAGCCAACATTTCCCACATCCATGTGCTCCTAGTTTAAATAGCAGTCGTACTAAATAAAAGTCTAAAGTATGTGCATAACAACAAATAGGTGACGTGTATCTGGCCATTTTGAACATATCTCCATGTACACTATATGTCCAAAAGTAATTCAGCTACTTTAAGGTGCACTCATTGCTGACACAGGAGTTCAGTGCACATGCAGCTTGTATAGTCTCCATAGAAAAGCATTGGCAGTAGATTGGGACACTCTGGGGAAGCTGCACAAACCCAAGGTCTCCATGCCAAATGCCAAGAGTTTGCTAGAGGGGTATAAAGGCCTCCCAACACTAGGCTGTGGAGTAGTGGAACTGTGTTCTCTGGTGTGATGGAGCTCCGTGTGATGAGTCGGAGTGATTCAGACCTGATTATCTGACATCAGTACCTAACCTCACTAATGCTCTTGAGGCTGAATGCAGTCAAATCCTCACAGCAATGTTCTGACATCTAGTGTAAAGTCTTCTCAGAAGAGTAGAGGCTGCTACTGCAGCAAAGAAGGACAAACTACCCATTGATATCCTTGATTTTGGAGAAAACATAGGATGAGAAAGTGTCTACAAACTTTTGGACATATTGTGTATTTCTAGGTACTGTGTCATTTTCTGTAAGAAAAGCTTTGCAAGGTTTATGACCGACCTCCACATTCTCCACAGGTTCAACACGGTCCCAATCGTGAAGTTCATGAGTCATCTGGTGTCCCACGTCTTCCTCCTAGCCCTCTTCATCCTCACCGTCGCCTACCCACCCGTGAATCCGCTGTCCGACGGCCGTCTGCTCCCGGGATGGTGCGAGTGGCTCTTGCTGACCTGGCTGTGCGGGATGCTAGTGTCCGAGCTGAGCCACCCTGGGGAGCGGGCCGGTCTAGCCTGGGTCAGGCTCCTTCTCCTGGGCTTCTCCGCTGCCGCCCTGCTCTGCCATCTGCTGGCAACCGCTCTCCAGAGGTGGCCCTCAGCTCCCATGCACTGCCTGTTTGCCCGCAATGTAATGCTAGCAGTTGCCATGACACTGGGCTTCATCCAGCTCCTGGAGTTCCTAACATTCCACCACCTCTTCGGTCCATGGGCCATCATCATCAGGGACCTGATGAAGGACCTGTGCCGCTTTGCCGTCATCCTGCTACTCTTCCACACTGCCTTCTCACTCAGCCTCACTGCCATCTGCCAGCCCGTATATCCAGTAAGTGACCTTCGGAGAAGCAGGGGAAACAATAGCAGTGTTGAGGAGACCAAGCCTGATATAGAGCTAAACCCCCTGGATGTCTCTGTGCTGCTCTTCTTCGCTCTGTTCGGCCTGACCGAGCAAGAGGACATCCCTGCTCTGGACCGCTCCCCCGCTGCGGCAGCAGTCTTGGCTCGCCTGGCCTTTGGGGTCTACCTGGTGGTGACGGTGATCGTGCTGGTTAACCTGCTCATCGCCATGATGAGCGACACCTACCAGCGCATCCAGGCCCAGTCGGACACCGAGTGGAAATTCGGCCGTGCCGTTCTCATCAGAGACATGAGCCGCAAGTCTGGAACACCGTCCCCTTTCAACCTGCTCACCAGCCTCTTCTTCTATATCAAGATCCTCTGCAAACATGGAGGTGAGGATTTACCTTATATTTATGCATAACTGTTAATTTTGTGGTTGGGCTGATTCTGTTTACTGTACTGTTGATTCTGAGTGTCGAACTTCAATGACAACAAATCTGACAATGTCAGTCAGTCGTGGGCTGGAGGTTAGGGAACCAGCCTTGGGATCAGAAGGTCGCTGGTTCGCTCTCCTGAGCCGACAGTATGTGACCCTCACTGCTCCCCGGGCTCTGTGGATAGGGCTGCCCACCACTCCGGACAAGTGTGCTTACCGCCCCCTAGTGGGTGTCTTTACTAGTGTCTATGTGAAATTTCACCATTGTGGGACTAATAAGGGTCTCTTAATCAAATTAATCATGAATTAACGTCGATGAGAATTGTTAAAATCATTCTATAGAGCTTTAGAGCTTTCATATGACATGCGCAGCCATGCTGACAGTGCATCACAGAAAGCTTAGGGGGCATATTTATCAGGGGTGGGAACAAGTCACTAAATTGCAAGTAACAAATAGGTCTTAAGTCTTCACACTCAAGTCCCGTGTCAAGGTGGTCGAGTCTCGATTTAGGCCCTGAGTCAGTACAAGCGAGTCTCAAGTCATGTCCCAAGTCAATAGTCCTAATCTTCGAGTCCTAAACAAGTCAGTCTGCATTCTTTAGCTAATTTAAGGCCATAAAACTGAATGATGGTAACAGTACTATAGCCTTTAAATGACAGCACATTAGCAGTGTATGGCTATATATTACTTCATTATTATTATTTATAATATATAATACAAAATCCATGGTACAGAGATAACCATGACAGGCATACTGGTACACGCAAAGAGTAGTGCAACTACACATGAAATGAATTTTAAAAGTATTACTGAACTTAATTAAGACATTTTATTTATAATTATTGACGATTTTTGGGAACATTGGGATTAAAACAAATACTAGCTCAGCCACCTAAAAACAACCGCTAGTTTAAAATGAATTTAAACAACAACATGATGGTGAATGTACGAAGCTAAACTTGGCTTTTTTTTCACAAGATTCTTATTTAAATGGTGCAGCAGTTGCGATCCAGTACCTACTTACTGCACCATTTAAGATGGAATGGTAAATTCCAATACGAAGCTGGCGAATAACAAGTCAACTTCAGACTCATGGTGAACGTTGCGCTTGTTTTACCTGCAGTGTCGAACAGAGAGAGCTGTGTTTCATTTGGTTAACTACTATGAGGAAAATGGTCAGTTCGCCTGGTAAGTTTCTCCAGTAAGACTGGAGTTTAAGTGCTGAGTCTTTCCGAATTGTGGCGTTCAAGTCCGAGTCATTGGCGTTCAAGTCAAAGTTGAGTCCCAAGTCTTTCTCAATTTTCTCGAGTCGAGTCTAAAGTCATCAAATTGGTGACTTGAGTCGGACTCGAGTCCACACCTCTGATCTTTATTGCTTTTATTGTTTTGTAAGAAATGTATTAAAATTTTTGCATAATTCAATCAAAGTCATTCAGAGTGGTCTGATGTGAAGTGGTTCATTGTAGAGAAATATACCTATTCAGATTTCTTTACAGTGGTGGTGATAGGAACCAGGGGTCACCATGACTACAACACAAATATAGCCATTTTATTTACTATCCAAAACCACCAGTGAACCTACACGTGTCTTCTGAATTTTAGGCATCAGGCAACAAGCCTATAGGCATTTAAAGCGTCAGATGTCTGGTTTCTATCACCACCTCTGTGAACAATACTGATTCTGTACGTTTCTTTAGAACAGAGCATTTCACACCAAACCACTCTGAATGACTTTGATTGCATTTTAATTATTGAATCATAAAATCAGAAATGTTGAATGTGGAATTCCTCTTTAATGCACAGGGAGAAATTTGAATGACGGTGTGGGCGAAGGTAGAAAAGGCATAAGAGTTAAATTACTTTGTTGAATAATAGTATTTTTGTGTTAGTCTGAGGTGTTTACTATTCTGGGGTCTCCACAGGGAAGCTGTGCTCAGTGGAGGGTCGTGATCTAATGGGTGAAGAAGAGGATGCTGAAGGGTTACCAAATAACCGTTCTCTGGATGCAGTGGCACACACCTCCACCAGCTGGCTCAGAGGAAACAAGAGAACCCAGATCCTCCCTGAAAGTGAGTGCTGTGCTCATGTTCATGAAACTCATTTAGTACATACAAATGTAATGCGTGTAATAGAATGTTATCTAACTATTTACTACTTACCACCCTTCGTTAATTCAAATGGGTGTTAAGTATGAAGTTACTCATTTTTCAGTGTCAGAAAAAAGCAGAAAACACAGAAAATTACACAGAAGTGTCAAAAACTAAACACCATTTCTTCAGTATTTAGTGTGTTCACTCTTTACCTCTATTACAGCTTCCATTCTTTTCAGGAGACTCACTTTCAGTTTCTCAGAGTAACACCTGTGGATTTTTTCAGATATGAAGCAAGTGTGGAGCTTAGTTTTCTCCTCTATCTCAAAGATGAAAGATTACTGTGATTTTATCACGGGAAGGCTGTTCTTAGGCACAATGCCAAGAAATGTAGTTCCTTTAGTGTGTGGCGTCGTTGCAAAGCAGCCATGGAAGAACATTCAGTCACCCATCGCTGTATATTGCAGTCATTTCGTGAACTTTTTGTCGTAGAACATTGGACATATGATAACAGCACAGTTTAATGCAGAAACATTCGCTTTATAAATACTTTTGGTCACCAAATTACTACCACGAGTCTTATTTAGCACCAATTCAGTGGCGCAGCTCTTCTCACGATGGGGCTGAATCTCAAGTGGCTCCCTGCTCCCTACATAGTGCACTATGTAGGAATATATAAAATACTGGATCCTGCAACCCGACAGTGCAAAATGCTGCTAAGAAATAGTTATTTGGGACTCAGACACATCCACACTCGATAAATGATGCACTATTTGGCTGTATAAGCTAGAATTTCTAAACTTTCATTGCTATCACACTATTTAGGGAGTACAGAGCCATTTGGGATTAAACCTGGGTTTGACGCTACTTCTGACAAACACAGACATTTGAAGCGTGCAAGACATTCAAGTGACATTTTTAGACTTTTATACTGTTTTACAGTTAAGTACTTTAATTCATGTCTGTGATGTCAATGATGGAGCTGTTTAGGCTGTTGGGTCTTTTAGCATGTTAGCTAACTGACCAGCCTGGTTCTAGTTAAGAACATAAGCCGCCAGCCCCACAGTTTAAACAGAAAACAGGTTCTTACTTTGTCAGTACACTCGGTGGTCCATGCAAGCAGCATTAGTGTCAAAGATTATTCCATTAAAGCCCAAAGGTTTTTTTTGTGCTGTTGCATAGTAATGAGTAAGATTTCAGTCACTCTGAGGTGGTCATAGGCGTATACTGTGGATATATTGTGGATTTCACAACTCAGTTGTAAAAACTGGGGACACTGGGGACAGTTTTGGTGGTCTACCAGGCCTTGTTGTTAGGAGTCCCATTTTCTCATCATTTCATATAGTTTTGGAAACTTCTGTTTTTCATTATTAAGCTAATGTAAATAACAAGTAATGGAGGCTTTATTATCATGCATGTCGCTGCCACTACATGGCAAGATCAAACTGTGTTAGGTGATCTCTAATAGACTTGCTTATGTGGTTTCTGACAATGTATGACACACTGTGAACACAAACAAAAGTGCTCACATAGTTGAGAACAGCAGTAGCAGCTGTCCAGAGGCCTGGATTCTATCTGTACATGTGCTTTTTGGAGTATCGTGGATGCAGTTAGATGTTGTGTACTATGCTCTTTGTCTAACTCTGTCCTGTGTGTTTTGTGTAGGCAGCCCCATTGAGATGCCCAGAGTGGGAGGACAAGTGCGAGTAGAGAATGTGACTGACTGGGCAGTGGTGGTTCAGCGTTTTCTAGCCCTGCAGAGTCAAAAAGACAGAGCACCAATAGAGACAGTCAACCATCTAACCCCACTTCATCATGAGTAACAAAGCAGACCCTGCCCTATACCCTGGCCATCTAGAACTAACAGCATGATGTCCAATTCTTTCTGGTTACATCCATGTCACCACTTTCGGGGTTTCAGGGTTAAGCATTAGCTTTGCATCTTTACAGACTACATCCAATCCTGACCATCCACTGGACATATTAGTGATAGGCTGAAACTCCAAGCCTGGAGGTTCACTATGTTATATCCAACCATATAAACACAGGTGCTTTTTATGGAACCCCATAGCACTGCCTTTGATGAAATGGTGATGAAGTAGTAATATTAACAGTATTATATTTGTTCATATCATGAATGCCTTGACATTAACTTTGTATTATTGATGTTGTCATGTATGTAAAACTGTTTCAGACCTGAAACAAAGACCATTGTAAAAGCAGACATTTTGAATTAAGTAAACTGGATGTATCCTGACATATACAACAACAGACACTCTGTGAAATCCAGCAGAGTTTTAAGTGATATTTCTATACTGTTATGATGTCATAATTTTCAGTGGGGTGATGTATCTTCTGTCCTGAGTTGGTTTCACTGAAAAATAACATAAAAGGGAAGATTTACTAAAAGAGGCATTAGAAGTAAAGCTGCACTATGTAAGATCTTTTTGTTAAAATTGAAAGATGTATCATTACTCAGTCAGGAGAATAACATTCTTTACATAATAATGTCACACACAGGCTCAAAAAGAGGATTCGGCTCAATGTTTAGGTGTCAAATGCAAAATCAACATTATACACATGAAGATATGATGACAGTAGTAGATAATTTACTCAGATCCTTGAAAGATCTTTCACCAATTCTGACTGAGTTCTCTTTGAATACTTTGCTGGCCGTCATCAGATTCATCTGTTTGGGGAAGAGGCCTGAAGCACAACCCACATTGTGTAATCGCATGCCATTACACATTTTTACCAGAGGGGTCTCCAAATCCCTGAAACTTACACGGTGCAGCTTTAATCGACAGTCTGCAGACACCTTGCACTGGTTGGGGTAACCAATGTAACAGATCATCTGCTAAGAACTTTCCATGCAAATAAAAATGACACCTTCAGTATAAAGTGTTACTATAATTTACAAACTCCTGTTTTTCTCACAGCCATTTTGTATGAAAGGGTATTTCTGCCAGGTGGGAGAACCAGTGATGATTATGTTGCCATAATGAGTTATCACTCTTTCAGAAAGCTTAATCATTATTTTGAGAAAATAAATTAAAAACAGCAAGTGATACTTTTTCACCTGGAGGTGGCTCAACAAGAGTGGTAGCCATGTTAGCATCAAAAATAAGACTTTATATTCAGATACACATGAATTGCTCAGTGAAAAATCAAATTTACGCAATTTTCCATTTACCCCAGATGGAATCGATTGGCCAAAACTAGCTTGGAGTCCAAGCATTGCTTCTTTAGTTCAGCACTGGGGCTGTGAGGCTAATGTTACTTAGCAAACAGTAGAAGTCAATAGTCACCCAAATCTTTTCTCTAAATACATCCCCAAAACTTCTCTCAACCTGCTCAAACCACAGCCAGGTTTTCTTTAAGGACACAGTATGACTTTGTCGCTGTCCAAAGAAAAACAAGTATCTCCAAAACGGTAACTTTACAGGAGAGGGCAAAAACTCCTTTAACTTTTAATGTAACTTAATGTAAAGAGATTTTATTCAAAGTGATTTTGGGGCATTTCTATTGGTCCAATCATAATAAAATTTTCAGACAATGGCAAGGTCAAATGACGTAGAAAAAAAAGGCGAAAATGGAGGTACATGTTTTTCTTTGGACAGCGACGACTTGATGTGAGGGATCAAAATGAACAAAACTTCAGTGTAGCTGCCATTTTAGACAATTGTCTCCAATTTGTATGCACAGATTTCATAAGATTATGTTTACGATTTCTGTTATTTTTTTTAATAAATAACTGTCAATTTTGATTTTTCTAACTGAAGATATTTGGTTGTAAGGAAAGACGACAGAAATCATAACCATAATCTAGCATCTATGTCTATGACCGCATGACGTGCATGCACAGGAAAAGGAGTCAGATTCTGCTGGGGAGTCAGAATTTGGAACAACACCTGTTATCTGAAATTGTTGCATGCTGTGTTCAGCAGTTTTTATAGTTCACAGAAAGTTATACCACATCCTAAACCACATGAACATGCGTTTTGAGTGGGTTGAGAGATGTTTTAGGGATGTATTTACAGAAAGGATTTGGGTGACGGTTGACATTTAGTGAATAGCAACATTAGCCTTGAGAAATTTAGAAATTGTGTAAGTTTGAGTTTCACCAAACTTTTAGTTTTAATAGCACATAATCACCATGTCAGTGCTTAATGTCAGCGTAAATCAGAGTAGGTGCTTCATTATCATAATCACCTTCCAGCATTTTGCAATCCATAAATGAATAGAAAGAGGCAAAAACTGCAGCGAATGCCGCTTTGGTCTTATTATGAGCGTTAAAGGGCCACTGAGCAAATCAATTCTGTTTTTTTTTAATGACAAAAATATGATTTGTGATGGTGCAAAACTTTAGTACATCTACTCCCTGGACTAAATTCAGTCTTTTGGATCACTACATCTAAAATTACAGTTATGTAAGTTTTTATGTGACCAGGCTCAAACATAGCCATTCCTTACTGCAAGGACAGCATTTGTCTTTTGTTTCTGGAAACTTGTCCTAATGATGTCAGCTCGCCTTGGACATGTGGAGCAGTAGATGAGAAACCACAGTATTGCCGTCTTGTTTATAAGACCCGTTTGTCTGCGTTCCTGCCTGGGCCGGTTCTTCAACACTGATCCAGTCTCGAAATATGAGGAACTTTTCAGAAAGCCGTGAGACATTTATTGAACCTAAAGTCCCGTTGTCCACACCCTTAACGTCAGATGTGCAAGACGTTTGAAGACAGCATTGCACTGGCCTCCCTCGTGATACTAAACAGGTGCATGTGAGTGTCCAAAACCCTGAGGTCAGATATACGATGTCCCGCACTCTCATCCATCCCTTCGGCCCCCTCAGCAGGAAGTGCTTTCTGTCTAACCATGATGAAAGCTGAATGAAAACAAAGTGTCCTCAGCTCACTCCCAAGATTAATGGCTCGGACGCCTAAAACGTTTCATAAGTCACAGGTTCGGACCCTCTGTGGAGTTTAACTTTGGACAGGGAGGTGAGCGCTGCGGTAAACACTGATGATGAGACAGTATTTTTCACTTTTATGAGGACAGGGTTTTTGCACCGTGTTTATCTAGACGTAATCAATAACCCAGCTTTCTGTTTTATTACAAATTTATAGCAACTGCATATTTTGGTGGATCTCCGTGTTTTGGAGAGTCATTAAATTATGCATGTTTGAATGGAGCAACCAAATTTTTTGCTTTTACGACTGAGACTTTAGACTGCCTTGAATCCGTTGTTTCACATCCTCAGTGCCACTTCCAATTTGATTCTCTCTCTTTCTCGCTCTTGCTCTCTGTGCACTTGGCTAACCTCTTATGCTTGTGGGTATATTTTGGTTTGTCCATTTAAATTCACATGACCAAATCGTAAGGCAAATTATTCAGTAACTGCATGAAATAAATGTCAATTTTTATTTTATTTTATTTGTATTTTTTGTAAAAGCTCCCCTCAAATTAACAGAACATGTGTTTTATGATCATAAACATATTGCTATATGCTTACAATTTACTGCTGAAAGCCAAAAACCTTAGACGCTCTTTGTATTATTTTATAAAAATAATTTTTACAGAGCAGATCACTGAAGAGAAGCCATCTGTTTATAGTTTATAGCCCAGATTTGTGAAAAAATGGGTCGACTTTCAGTAGATAAAAAACATTGTGAGTTCAGCTTCTTTTATTATAAGGGTTTAAAATTACATCACCCATCTATTTGACTGGACAGAAGACAGTTACAGCTCTCATATGACACCCACCTTCTGAATGTAGCTTATGAAATATGAAAGTTATGAAGAATATGACGAAGTGTGTTTTGGAACCACCGGTGGTCTCAAGGAGTTTAAAAGGTTAATGATGACAGTCTACTAGCATTGTCCATTTTGCACAAATTTTTATGGCACAAAACTTTGTTACTTCATGAAAAAACTGCCCAGAAATAAAAAGCAGAAATTTTTGTTCAGCAGCCAGATTAACTCAATTTGCTACAAATATACTGACATGATGTTCTGGATATTTCTTTGCTTTGTCCAGCTGGGCCTAATTTAACCAGGTCAGTGTGGTTTCTGTACCACATATTTCAGACGTGTTTGTGTGCAGATCCACTCAAAGCCATGGGAATGGAGCAGTTGTGGGAAAATAACAGCCTTTGGATCTTCTTTGGAGCATATCTCCCAGTGCAGCAATACTCTTTTGAGATGTAATGTCTGAATGCATAACAAATAGTTTTAAGGCTTTTTTCCAGCTCCCTCAACACTCCCCTGATAACAAGAGGATAGTGGGCCACCATTGGCCTGCTGATGGCAAAGCTGGTGGTCCACTGGCATTTTGCATAGCGTTTTCTGGGTGGCCCACTGGTGGTTTAGCAGAGTATTAGACAAAATTCCACTTTTCATTGCTTATTTTCCTCACAGTCCAATTTACTTATTTTTCCTTCCTTCCATTCTTTAGTTACACTTTATAAATTAATTTAGTAAATTAGTAAATCATTTTGAATTAGACGCAGACATTTTTTCCTCAGTTGTTTGTAATATTTGTCTTAGCCTTTTATTTTAGAAAACGTCTGTGCATTTAAAATCTGAGGAGATTAAAAACTAGTTAGACCTTGGATGCAGGACAGTAATCTGGGTGGTCCGAGGGTGAACCAGCAGTGGCAAACAGGGTGCCCACCTTATCAAGCCAGCGGACTGATATATGTGCTTGCTGCATCTGTTGTTGCAATGCATTTATAATGATTTTGCTTGTATAAGAGTGTTAGAGGTGCCTTGCAGGCCCACCCACCTTGCCATTCGCCACTGTAGGCCTCTGAGATCATGTGTAATTCTGTAGTTGGCATTATGCCTTTATTGGGAATTCCCGACCTAAGCAGGTGTTCTTCAAGGGAAAAATGAATGCCGTTTTCAAAAATTTCAGACCCTGTCGCAACCAAAAATGTTCTAAACCCAATACATCTTCCCCCCAAAGTCTCACTAGTGTGGATAATGCTAATGCTTGCTACATACATGCTCGCTAACACTCCAGTGCACTGAAATGGCGTGGCATGAAAATACTTGCATAGTATTGTAACAACACCAGCTACTCAAAAAATGGCTTCTAATGCCAAAGCCTCCAAACTACCACATTTAACAAAGCTTGCTGGTTTGTGTGATGCATTTTCACGAGCTCAGGGTTATGATGTCAGTTCAGTGCACAGCAGTGGTAGCTCACATGGCAGCAGGATTCATATTTCAGCTTCTTAACAACCTCATAATGGGGACTTTTCACAAAG